GTTTTATCTGAAAGAAACACCTTAATCTTGAAAGTTGATGGTTTTATATTGAGGGGTTGTGAACTGAATGCTAACCTTATGAAGTCTATGTCTGAATGAGCATGTGAATAGATGAGAATGCCATGCATTGGTTTTCTCTTTCCCCATTTTCTCCTGAGAGATAAAGTGATAAGTTTAAATGACTAGCATTGTAAGATAGACTAGGCTGAGTTTACGACCCATTGTTCTAGCAGGCCCCCCCTCCAGCAGGGTCTGCTGGTGTCATCTGAGCTAACCCATTTTTGCTCCAATGCTATCCAGCTATATTTCGATAAATTTCTCAGTCTTTGTTCATTATTCAATGTAAAGCGAATGAAGGTACACCATTTGATTGGGATTAAGATCTCTGCATAATTTGTTCTTCACATTTATCTGCTGCTATTTTAAAGGACTTGAGTTTGTATATAGTTTGCATGGTAATTAAATATACTAATATTGTAATTAGCTAATAAAGGTACACATCTTTTAACTGTGGTTGTCTGTGGTTATTTATGTGCCCAACGATTTATCACTCAGAACAAGATCCACCCTGTTTGGCTAACACTTGAAGAAAAAAAAGACTATGTGCTTACGAATTTATGGGCTGCTTCTTCCAAGAATACGGTCTACCTGGACTGGGTCTTACGAAGTCCGTGAAAATAGGGAGACCGGAAGAATTTTGGCTGTGAATTTTAACAGGTCTAACCTTCCGCCGCTTTCACCGCCGTACGCACTGTCGCTTAGAAACCGTGATAGATGACACACAAAGCAGGAAAAGAATAAATACCGAACTTTTCAAAACTGTTTCTGTTTAATTTTTTTCCTTTTTTTTACTGTTAAGTGAACAAAGATGACAACCACCAGGAGCATGAAGAAATAAAAGCTAATGTATTGATATAAACCTTTGTCAGTTAAATAACATGATGCTGTCATTTTGCACATCTCTGATGTTGCTGCTATTTTCAGTTATCTATTACTTTAAAAAATGTCCATAGCTGTATATAGGTTATTTATTCTCCAGGTGCACAGTTTTTTATATTGTTAAAACATTTTACTGTGCAGTATTTTATTGTTTATCTAACTCTTCCCTATTATGTTATTTTTATACCTTTTTCAAAGATCCATGTTTGTGTGACCATTTTTTTCTATAATCTTTTTGTTGCTGTAAACGCAAGAATTTGCTCATTGTGGGACAATAAAGGGAATTTCTATTCTATTTTATTCTATTCTATAAAAAGGGTATAAAGATATAAGTAAATCTAAACAATGTATGTATAAAAATATATCTGCAAAATCTCTTATATTCAACAACAAAAAATACTTAGTTAAGCGAGGTACCACAGGGCCAGCTAACCTGTCCTGCCTAAAAATACAATGACTGAGACGGGTTTAAACTGGCAACCCACCAGCTACAGGTGTATCATTAACTCCTAATAACTAATACTTTTTTTTTTTTTTTACATTATAGCACTTGTAGGGATGCACCAATCAGTCTTGTTGAATTCTCATCTGATAATTGGGGCGGGGGGGGGGGGGTTATAGCAGAGCTCTGTTTGCTTTAGCAGTATCATCATTACTGTTGTTCTTTTAAAGAGACTGTGATAAATGTTTCCACATTTATCAACAAGATATGTTACAAGATATGCAAGAGATATGAATAAATAATCACATCTATATTCTAAAATACAACTTGAGGTTAGTATAGGTCAGAAAGGAAGGTATAAAAACAATTATTGGTGTAAGCAGGACAGGATGTATACATCCTGATAACAAATATGTAAATGTGGGGGTTCAAATTGACAGTACTAATCAAGTCAAAGAAAAATCCCATAAGGGGAAACATTACTCCTAAAATCATTTTTATATAATACTATATTAAATTATTATAGAAATAGATAGAATATATCTGCCATTATGGATCAGACCCATTTTCAGCAACAGGTATACATGTTCTAGAACATTCCTTTAATATAAGGACCGACATTGATATTAATATTGGAATGGTTCATCTCTATATGACTTAAAGTGTTCAACAGATACTGTGATTGATAGTTGATTAACTTTATTAAAAAGCAAAAAAATTATCATTAACCTCATATCATAACCTATCATTAATATACCAAATTTGGACTCAATCAGATGAATCATATTTATTTTAGAATGGTATTAGTGAGAAATTTCTTAGGCGGAGGGGCCATTTTGGCACATTTATCCAAAAATGTCACCAAACTGTGCCAAACGTGTTTTTTACATCAATACTGGGGGTTTGTTAAAATTACGAGGTCACGTAGCAGCGGTGGGTCCGTAGGGTTCTAGGGGTTAAAATATTTAGCTCTGAACTTATTACAAATTCTTTAGAAAATGCTACTTCTGGGCTTGAAGTATAAAACAGAAAACACAGAGTGGAACATGCAATTGTCCAACTTTGGTTTTGATTAGCGATTGCATGCATGAAGCATAGCTAAAAAAAAAAAGAAGCAACATAACAGGGCATTTCTATTTTTTCTTTTTCTTTTGTACTTTCAATCCCTCCTTGCAGACCTGTTTGACCTGTTTGACCTGTTTGAAGCCTAACACACTTGTTGATTCTCAGAGCAGCAATTTGGCCACAGCAAGGGGCACACAAGTAAAATCTCTTTGATGACTCTAAATGGAGAGATTATCCAAATGAAAGACAATTACCAAAGCCCCACCCATCACGTCAACCTTCAATATCTCTTTATGCCTTTTTTTCCCAACTCAATGTTCACTCTATGAGCTAAGGCTATTCATCATATTTGCTATTTGATTCCATCCATGTTCCTCTTTTTCCTTTCTGCCTCATAATGCCTTTCTGCTTCTATAATCTCATCCTATTAGTCCCTCTGCTTCAACCCTCCCTTTTATCTTCCCCTCTTCACCTTTTCAGATACATCCTTTTTCTTTTTATTTTCGTCTCTTCCTTCTCACTCTTCATCCTCTTAGTTCTCCCATCTCAAGGGAGCCATTAACTGAATTGGTCACAGGGGCTCTTATGGAAGAGAACACTGATAAACAATCCTATTTCTATTTTGAGGTCAGAAACAACCACTAATTGCTTCTGTCCATGTTGAGCATGAATGTGTTTTGTAAGAACAAAAAGACAAATACAGTCCAGGTTGGAGCAATAAATAGCCTGATGCTGAAAGGTTTTTACACCTGTGCTGATACACACATTGTGCTTGTTAAGGCTCTTAAGCCAGACATCTTCCTTAGTCATTCCACAACCTTCACCACTTGTGTTCTTGCACCATCTCATCACCCCCTTGTCCTTGCTGTCACTATCTAGTGTGATTATTCTAAGGGAGTAGAAACATTCACAGCCTTTATAACACAGCAAGACTGCTGGAGCTACACTTTCCAGCTGCTAATAGACACTGAGTAACTAGAAACATCCACCTAAACACATGGACATAATGTCACATCAGAACAGTGATGCATCTATAATGATTTTATGTGATCACTTCTTTTCAAATGATGTGCCACGTTTTTTTACATGGTCAAATGTTTTTACCTCAAACGCAGTCAGGGTATTAATCTTACTCTCTGCAGCTGTTAAACTGTTAAACTAATATTAGAATGACATGAACAATTGATAAAAACTGCCTAAACACTGAAAGATGTATTTACTCTTACAGTAAAAAAAAAAAAAAAATCTAAGCGGACAGTTTTAAATAAAAAAAATTACCATCTCTATGAAGACAAAAATAAACATAAAGACAATTACTAATGCAGCAAAACTAAACAAATACAGGCAAAGCATTGCATTTTGTTAACATGACCCAATTTGTCAGAGAAATAAAAGGTCAGATAGAGGTGAATGAGTGTGTGTGTTTGTAAGAGAAAAAGCAAAATTCTTTCAAATGAGTCAAACATCTGCTCTGATCTTTTTCCTGAGCTGTCCCTTTTTTTTTGGATAAATGTTTTTTTCCGTATCATCCAATGTGACTGTAACCGCATACCAATGTGCACAAAGGAAGACAGAGGTTTTTCAAGGTGATATTTTTTTGAGGAAATAGAAAGCATTTATGTGAATGCAGACTGTTTCTGTGTCCTCTCTTGATTCGAAATGCCAACCCCCTTGAACCACAAACACACATTCAACACACTCCTCTGCAGTTCTGCTGTCAACTGACACAACAAAAGAGAGAGAGAGCGAGGGAGAGAAATATCCCAGTTAAAACAAAATGATGTAATGTGTTTCAACCAGTGGGTATTTCAACAGGCTGCCTACATTGGGCAAAACAAAAACAAACAAGCAAAAAACCTGTGATGCATCATATTTTAGCACGTGACAGTAGCTGCCTAGATGTTATTAAAGATTCTTATATTTAAAATTCACCAAGAGCAAAATTTAAAACAAAAATATTTGTTTTGTTTCTTTTCTCTTACAGTTGTTGAGAACTTTACAGATTGTTGCTCATGAGGCTAGGGGATGATGTAATGCGTTTCTTGTAGTAATGGTCAAAGTCATCATGCCATCTTCACTTTCACTGTTTCAATGTCTTTTCTGTTTTGCAGAACATCAGTGCCACTTAGTGGACATCCAAGCATACTGCAGGTTACATAAGATTAAAAGGCACCACATTACATCATACTGTCTTCATTGTGTCTTACCTCTGCAGCCTTGATTGCATTCATTTACTATTATTATATGAAATCCATAACAAAAATACATAATTAATGCCTTTTATTTATACAAAAATATTATTATTAAGTACTTTAAAGCATTTGGAGCAACAATCCAAAGAAATATTCCTGTTAACACACCACCACTATTTTCCGTACAATTGTTTGACTGTTTTCTTATATATTAGAAACACAACTGTGTCAGACTAAGTTGATGCTCTTTCCACTTCAAAACCATCATGGTAGCCAGAAGACCACCCGTAGATTAGCAAGTATTAATCAATGAAATATCTATTTAGATCAGTGTATAATTTTTTGTAGTGAATGTCTGTTACCACTATCAGGCGAGCCGGCAGTGATGCTTTGTCCACTCTTCTTCTTCCTGAGGGTGAGGAGCCTGGCCTGGGAGATCTCTCTTACAGCAGAGGCCAGATGTTCTCTGCTATTGCTGCAGTGGTTTGAGGGGGAGGCTTTGGAATCTGCATCCCCATTGTCACTTGAACGACCAGTGGACTTATTCTGAGGCACAAGAAAATACAACTGATTAAAAAACTGAAAAAACTCAAGACTCAAGATAGAGTCCTACAGAGCATACAAATGAAGATAAAATGCATGTTGTTACAATGCATCTACAGACTATAGAGGCATGAACTGTTTTGGGGTTTTTATTGTTTTTTTTGTTTTTTTAATAAAAAAAATTCTCTCAAATATGACCTTGTAAAACATACAATTTAATTATGGAAAAGAATTTATGAGTTCTTACATTTCCATTTTGTTTTGAAAATCGATAGATGGGTGGTAGACATTGGGCCTTCATTCTGTAAAAAAAAATTATAAATATATGTATCTATAAATCACATGAATAATCCATTATAATTTATCTACATATGTTTTTGAGTTTTTGAAACTGCAATAAAGAGTAGTGTTCAGAGGTAAATTGATCCGTTCTGCAACTGGATACACACAAAATGTACAATTATAATTTAGATAGCATGTCAAAAAAGAAAAATTCTGCCATTTTGACAATTAATTCTCCATGTATACACAGCATTAAAAATGTTTGTAATAAAAACGATTGCTGCTATTTACAGCCTAGGTGCATTTATGAAGAAATTAAAAACCTTATGTAAAGACACAAAACTGTGTTCAAAGAATACGTTTAAACCAATGCGATTTGGAGAAAAACTGATGTAAGTTGTGTAAGTGAGACTACTCTGTGTGAACTTCTCATCAAGTTATTTCCATGGACTTCTTGCAGCACTGAGCTTACCCTCTGATCCTTCTTGTTCCTTTAGGCCTAGAGAAGAGAAGGTCACTGTATGGAAGCTTCTTAAATCTCTCTCTGCCCACAGCCACATAAAGCTGCCCACACTCCAGCTTATTCCCATCAGTCACCTGCTGGCCTTCATAAGTGTACAGACTAGGGTGAAAAAATGAGGAAAAAACCCTTAAGGTCTGAAAAATGGTAAAAGTTACTGCATCGTTTTTAAATGTTTCCATTCCTACTAAAGGTTTGCTGTGAAAACTGAATGAGTAAAAGGATGTTTCTAAGTTCATCAGGTACATCTGTATGTATAAAGATCTCAAAGACAAAAATATCTATAAAAGATCCATGTATAACGCTTTGATATACAAGACAATGCGTAGAGAGGGGAGGTCTATTTGTGTAACCTGTCATTACCTTCGCACACCTCCCAGGACTCTCAAGCCCATCTTCTCTGTGATCATTTCTAGTATTCTGTCGAACTGCCCCATTATCCTCTGATGGATCAGCAGTCTCATTGCAGGATTCAACACGTCACCATTTGCTACCACACTATACAAAATAAACAACAACAATGTATTAGAGACATCTTTGCTTATCAATCTATGGCAAGAATACATTTGTCAGTAATCCCCATTTGTGGATAAAAAAAAATTCAATATGTGGATTTGAACTGTGTGCAGTAGCACTCTACTTACAATATTGTACAAGGCTCTTTGATTGGTTTTAGAAATCGTGCTGACACGATTATTCGATTGTGTGGTCTGGCCTGAAAATAGAAAAAAATATTACCATGTTATAATATAAAGTCTGCAGCTACAGATAGAAAAACTGGCATGCTAAACATTAATACTTGAAATATAGGTTTTTTTATGGTATTATGCAACATTGCTGCATCATTAAAGCATTCTAATTCCCACTTGAGCTATACAGTACACTCATTTGAGATTTAAAAAAGAGCCAGAGGCTTAGGCTAATTTCCATATAATAAAAGAGCTAAATAAGCATAGTATTGTCTAGTGGCTTTACTCTCATGTACAGTTTGTTTCAAACTGTAGGAGCATGAAGCAACGCCTGGGAATAGTTTGTGATCAAGGTGGTATATTGCAATTATTTTAAGACAACTGTCAAAAGGTAAAATTATAGTAAACTAATTCCAAAAGGGCCAGAAAAAATGTAAACTTTAGAAAGAAAAAAAAAAAGAGCAAAAAAGCATCTTCCAGTGATTAATAGAGCGCCAAAAGAGTAGCCCCCTTGTGGTTCTCTGACAATGCAAAGGGTGAATACAGCTAGTCCTGTCCCTTAACACCTGTAACCAACGGTGGGTATTAGATGGGGATCCTGCTGTTCTGGGAATGGAACATGGTAACCGAGTTAAGGCCCAGAAGCAGAAAATTAAAACAGATAGGCTTTAGAAGAATAGAAAAGTCATAGTAAAGACCAAAATTTTTTTTTTCAGAAAACATGCAAATAAAATAAAAAACTAACTAAAAAGTACTAAAGACACAGGGATGACTCATTTAGGGACTAGCCAGGAACAAAGAGACTACAAAAAAAAATCCTAAAAGTAGACAAAGTACATACTAACGTAAACTAACTAGTTTTGTTTGGAGTTGCTTTGACCAGATTTGATTGCTATCTGAGAACTCTGTTTAATCGGAGTCTACATTTTAACTAGCTTGATAAACCAGACTAAATGTGAGATTAAATGTGTAATTTAACTCGCACTTACAGGCAAAAATGATTTTGGCCACTGGTGGGTGGGGCTAGTTTACTATGCCACATTCTAACCAATTATGGAAATGAAAACTGTCCATCATAAACTGCTTTTTGTATCAGCTGTTTTTTTAGTTTTCTTAGCTTTCATGATACCTAGAAATGTTGAACTATTTTTATTTACATGCTTATTCATTTGGTATTTATTGAACTTCTTTTCAAAATAGGCTGATTAAATGTTATGATCTCAGAATTAGTTCTGATTTAAATTAGCATACACCTCATTATTTTGATCTATACATAGCTGTATACATTTTTATCAATTTATAAGTGTGTTTAAGTCATGTTCAAAACAGTGGAAAAGCTAAAAATCAGTTTAATCATTTATCTTTAGAGACAAATGCTCTGGGATCAATGATGCTACAGCAAATTAAAATATTAAGAGAAATGTATCTAATTCAAATTATATATACAGCTTGTGTGTGTTTACATGTACATACGAAATGATAACTGGGGAAATCTGCTAACCACTACAACAGATCTTAATGATATTTATATAATCTTTGACTATATGTTCCAGTCTGTTCTGTTATGCTTCAAGATGTGTTGGAGAATATTCATGAAACTATACCTCTAGATTTTTTTCTCATTTTTGCTACAAAGAAGCAGGGGATTCAACCAAGCCTGGCACAAGGAGGCAGCTTGTCTTTAGAAAACCATACTCCAGCTAGCTGTTTCTTTCTATTTACAAACTTACATAGAACAATGTTTTAAATGCACAAGCTAATTGCATTTGGAAAAATCGAAGTCTGTTCTCCAATATCCTCGAATCAGATTTTGCAGTTTACATAATCATTTCAAAACTCAGATAATCAGAGATATCAAAGTGCAATCATATTTCTGTACATGTGTAACCAAGCTCAGCATCAGCCAACAGAAAATATGGAAAATTAAATATTGTAAAATATAATTTTTTTCATTACAAACTTAGTTATTTGCTGTGAAACCTGATAAAATTTGCTTTTATGTAAACTAATAAACTAAAATTTAGGTGTGTATTTACTGTTTCATGTAAACAGGTATTCCACCTAAGGATAATTGGAATACAACCGGTTGATGTGACCCTCCAATGAATTCACTAGTTAGTCTGGAAGCAAAATGTTGCTTGGGTACTGCTGTATAGAGTGTTGTGATCTTACACCCATTTCAAGGGAATAATATTCAGGTCATGAGCAAAAGCCACCATGCCTGGCACAAAATTTTACATTTTTTAATGGTGTATGACAAATTTTCTCAGAGAGTCACGAATAGGCTCAGACTCTGTGTGGGTCTAGAGGCTTATGTGTGGCAATGATTCTTTGATTCTTTAGTCAATACAATGTTTTACAGTATTTCTATGTTGGCTAGTTAACAAACAAATACCGTAACAATGTCAGGGTCGTTCTTTTGTTCTGAGATCTTTACTGCTCCTAAAACATTGCAAGAACCCGAAGTGGAATAGGGGTTGAAGACACTCAACCAATAATATGAGGGGAGTACTTCTCTGAGTTAGGCCCAAAGCCATAGCAACTCTGAACTGGAAGGAGGATACAGAGCATACGACACAGGGAAATAGTGACACATTAAAAGGCAAAGAGAAGAACAAAAATAGCAGGAAAAGTGCACAGGGAGAGTAGACAAACCACATGATTTTCGAGATTACGTCTGATGTGATAATAAATGTTGCTCTGTAGAATCAAATGATTTTTGTGGATGTGCAAATAAACCATGCTGACAGTATTTAAAAGGCCTACATGATGATTGTGGCATGTACCCACTCCATTTACAAACTGCTCAGATAAATGCTCTGAGTTGTTACCCTCATGTTCCTTAATCATAGGGAATGTAGTAAGCATGAAGAGTTTTATAATATGGGGTTCCGTTAGTGCCAAAAATATGTTTATGTGTCTTCTGGTATGTTTATGTATGGGGTTCCGTTAGTGCCAAAAATATGTTTATGTGTCTTCTGGTGTGTCCATGTGTCTTCTGGTGTGTCCATGTGTCTGTGTAAGGTGTGCATGTATCGTGCTTTTGTAATGGAAGCTGTATATGTAGTGGTTTAAAGTCTATATGTTAGATTCATATGTTGTGTCTATATGCTGTGAGCATATGCATTGTGTCTACATGAGGGATAACGTGCATTGCATTATTCTTCACTTTATGTTGTTTGACCATGTTGTTGAGCCCGTCAGCATGTGATCTCGTTTTGCTGTCGTTTCCTTTGCTGTTACAGCCTGTCGTTCTCCCCTGTCGTCTCCCTCTGCTGTTATACCTGTCGTTGTCCCGTCATCTCCCTCTGCTGGTACAACCTGGCGTTACAACCTGTCGTTGTCCCGTCGTCTTCTGTGTTGTTACAACCTGTCGTCACCTCTGTCGTCTTCTGTGTCGTTACAACCTGTCGTCACCTCTGTCGTCTTCTGTGTCGTTACAACCTGTCGTCACCTCTGTCGTCTGCTGTGTCGTTACAACTTGTCTCCGTTATACTTGTGATTGTCCCCGTTAACGGGGCGTTGCACTGCTTTTACAATGGTGGGTTGCTGCTGCTGTCTTGTGTCGTTACCTGGTTCCATTTGCGAGTGGTTGGCTATTTTATCTATATTGTTTTAATCTTTAATGTCACAACAGTAATAACTCCCTTCAAATCTGACTGTTCACACATATTAGCTCTGGTAAACGCCTTAGTTCTTCACTTACTGACCAATGCGGTCATGATAAAATAACGTACACACTTCCGGTTTAACGGAGATTTCAAAATAGGAGTCAATGACACAAACGCCTCTGCTGTAAAATTGAGCTTCAATGAGCATTACCATGGACAGGCTGTAACAGCAGAGGAGACGACAGGTTTTAACAACAGAGGAGACGACAGGTATAACAGCAGAGGAGAAGACAGAGGAGAACGACAGGTTTTAACATCAGAGGAGACAAAAGGTTGTAACGCCAGGTTGTACCAGCAGAGGGAGATGACAGGGGAGAACGACAGGCTGTAACAGCAAAGGAAACAACAGCAAAACGAGATCACATGCTGACAGGTTCAACAACATGGTCAAACAACATAAAGTGAAGAATAATGCAATGCATGTTATCCTTCATATAGACACAACATATGAATCTGACATATAGACTTTAAACCACTACATATACAGCTTCCATTACAAAAGCACGATACATGCACACCTTACATAGACACATGGACACACCAGAAGACACATGGACACACCAGAAGACACATAAACATATTTTTGGCACTAACAGAACCCCATATTATAAAAATAGAACTGGCTACATGTTTATCAGAACTACAGCCTGAAAGGAGGTTGTTTTCTCTTTTACCTCAGAACCACATTGGTTTATCTACGGTAGATTACAAGATCTTTTTATATTTATTTTGCCAGCAGCTCGCCTTCAGTTTGTTACCTTTTGACTGTTAATTCTAGACCTTCCTTGATCACCTTGGAACAGATCATTGGTTGAGTTTGCCATTATTGGTAACTTTTCTATTTATTGTAATTGTAGTTTTTTGGCCTCTTGGTTTTGGCTTTTATTCTCTCTAAATTAAATCACTTTTAATAGAAGCATATTATTATCTGCAATCCTTTTTATGTTTCTCCCTCTTCAATAAATATTTAATGGAAATTTTCCAGTCAGCTGATTTTCTAATAGTATACTACAGTATATCTACTAGTAAATAATTTGCCACACAGAAAAACACAGTTTTCCTAATACAGTAACTGAAATGATAATGAAGGTGGAATAACATATTGTTTTTAATGGAACTGTTAGGCCATACCAATCAAACGAAACAGAAACTTTCTCAAGTTCCCTGTTGTTTGGGGAGAAGGTCAGCAGTTGAACTTTAAAGCACATGAACCTGAGCACAACTTGACTTTTAGCTGCTCCAGCTTTGGCTGTGACTTTATAGCTGGTGATTAAAGATGCATTAAAAGAAGGGATGATTATGATACATAAATCAATAATGCATGGCCACTGAGACAACAACACAGTATTTTTTTCATGAACAGGAGGGGGGGAATTCTTAACATCACACTTTGACTTAAAATACTTCATCAAATGCCTAAAAGTTTATCTATATTATATTGAATCATATATTTAAAACAAAGAATAGAAAGGGAATTTATTACAGAAATGGTTACGCTTTTCTTTTTGAATGATCTAGATATGCACCTCTAGCACTGAATATACAAAACAAGATCAGTTGATAACGTCTCATTTTTAGAGTCAAATGACCAGATCTGTTTACTTCCTGCTTGAAACATGAGAAAATGATTGGTGTCTCACACCTACATTAGGGTAAACAAAAACACAGATGCACATTTGTTTGAAGAAGCTGTCTCTGCAATGTGTTCAAATACAAAATTCCCATGGAAACATTTTTAATTGATGGATGAGGGGGTTCTTACTGCACTAGAGTTGCAATACTCTGATTAAATTCTCTCTATTTACTAATAACAAAGCCCTAGAAACACTTCTGTCTTACCTGTGCAGGCAGAGTCTGCATCATCCTCTTCTTTCTGGTGCCAATATCTAGATAACTGGGAAGACAGCACAAAAGGCAAGAACAGATGAGTCAATCATTGCCCTGCAGCATTGCGTTAGAGGTGCCAATAAAAAAGTAACTTTTGGAGTTATATACCTATATATACCTAGAACATTTATACAAATACTTTTCATGTTATATTTGTATGTATTTGGTACAAAAACAACATCACTACATAGGTGGTAATAAAATTTAGAGTTGCTTGACTATTTTTGCATCCATTACAACTATTTTTGTTGGTACTATATATATATATATATATATATATATATATATATATATATATATATATATATATATATANATAGATAGATAGATAGATAGATAGATAGATAGATAGATAGATAGATAGATAGATAGATAGATAGATAGATAGATAATAAAAAGAAATATATACCGTAAGATATGAAGATATATCATTTGTAAAAGCAGATAACATTCATATATATTAAAAAAAAACAATACTTTTAATTAGCAGCACCATGCAAAAAGTAAATTACATACCTCATCTCATTCTTTTTTCAAAAATGGCGTTCACCCGTTTTTGCAAATGAACTCTTCATATGTTATTAGCTAACTTAAACAGATGATCCTGTGATTTCTTTTTCTTAATCCAAGTGGAGATTACTTTAAAGAGCAAGCTCTTCAGTTTGACATTTTGTATAATTTAAAGAAGAGTTACATTCAGATTATAAAATTTAGCAAGGACGGTAATCCAGTTTAGACCCCTTATATTTATTGACCTGTTTCTCAATGTTACGACTTAAAGACGTATACAAGCTTATATATGTATGCAAATGTTCAGTTTGTGTTCTCTACCACTGAAGATTCAACTTTTTATAGCATATCGGCTTCATAATGACAATAATCATTCTTGATTCCACACTATTAGTTGCCATTGATTAAAAAAAAGTAGCAATGTGTGCATGAACAGTCTGTTGCAGAGAAAATATGTAAATATGTAAGCCTATATGGTCATATGTTGTAGCTGGCACATTTTACTGTAGTAAAGAAATCAGTAAAATGAGAATATACAGTAGCTATATGCTTCCAATGATTTGAAATAATATTTCTACCAGGTTTCTCTGGTTAAGGGGTTTTAACAGATTTTACAACCATTCAGTTTATCAAAATATAGATTACAAAGCTATAAAACATTTTAGCCTCTGCTCAAATGTATAAAGATATATAATTTTCCTGGCTGAATTTATTTACTTTATTTCTCTTTTGGAATTAATAAAGTATTTTTGAATATGAAAAAGAAATAAATGAATAGATCAAAATAAAATAAATCTATACATGCATGCATGCATAAAAAATCCATCCTAAAATGCCCTTGGAATCAGACCTAATACCCTCTTTAATATTGCAACCGTTCTAACAGCTGTCACTATTACACCGCATAATAATAAATATTTATGCGGTGAAATATATTAATATTTTGAAATCACCATAAAAAACACTAATATTAAAAAAATAAAAAATAAATCTACCAGCAATGTAGAACTTTGTGCAAACATAGTTGCAATTCAAATATGTGTATAGAATTTTATTAAATATAATGTGTTGATGATGGCTTGAAGCATGATATTCAGACCCTAAATCCAAAAAGCAAATAACAAACAGGGTTGTTGTCTCTTTTGATTTCTACATGTACTTTAGTTTTTGTTTATTTAGAAAATAAAACATGATGATATAAGAAATGCATGTGCAAATTGCAATGAAAAGTGATACGTTGATATTAAGTTATATAAATACATGAATGTGCAGATCCAATAGTCTTATACATAAGTCGACTTATATTTTAGGTCAATGCTTCTATTCATGACTCAGCTTACCAAGCAGTGACTCAGCACTCAGCTACACTGTTGAGTCACAATACATTTTAATACTTTTCTACAGTCAGCAGGTCTGAGTGAATGACTGTGAACCCCAGCAATTATAAGCGAAGCTCTAAAGTGCTTATGTTTAAATGTAGACTGATCATTTAAACTTGCCCCAGGTTACTTACTATGCATAAAATAAATTATTTGTAAATTTTGTTGGGTAAAACTGAGAAAGGTTCATTCTTACTCGATCTTTTTGAATTTCTCTTTCCCTGCAGCCACGTACTGCTCCCCGCTCTGCAGGCTGTCAAGGCCCTCCACCTTGTGGCCCCCTCTCGGGGTGTAGATGTTCCTCACCGCCCCGAACGGAGCCTGTATCCCACCCGTCACCTCTCGCAACAGCGTCTCAAAGTTGCCCACTCTCTTCTCGTTGATAACTATCCGTCTGGCCTCATAGTAAGGGTCTCCGTTCCGGAACATAAAGATATTTTTCACCACAGGCTGCGAGAGAAAGTTTGGCTTCTCTGTACCCATCTCTGTGCTGGGAGATAAATAAAAAAGAAGAAAAAAACTGACAAAAGAGCGACTGAGAGATACTCGTTAGGATAAAGTCATAACGAGGTTATTCCGGCTATGAATCGCATGGCTCGTGCCATCATAACGTCATCAGAGCTGATCCATCCGTGCCAAACGCAGCGCGCAGGTATCCAGCCAGCGCTTTGAACGGCCAGACAGGAAAACTTCACTTTCTCAAAATAACAAAAAGCGACTCTATTGCTTCAAAGTTACAGATATTAAAAGTCCATATATTCAACAGCAGAAGACAATAAGCGATGCAGATGTAAATACTTCCTGCGCTACAGGTGAGAGTAAAGCTGGAGTCCTGCTGGCTTCCTCCGCTCTGTAACCCTGCTGTCTGGGGAACTCATCTGTTGGGACATGACTATGGGAACAAGTTGTTGTCTGTCCCAGATTAGATGGGACTTTCTTATCATCCAGTGGCCAATTATTTAACGGTGGACAAAACATTCATCAATTCACAAAAGTATTATTGCATTACTATAAATAATAAAATATACTGTTAGAAGGGAAAGAGATGATGATAGGCTGCAGGCCAGTATGCAAGGCTTCAGGAAGTCCCTTGCAGCACAGTGATAAGTTAATTGGGAGCCAAGGGATTGGAAACCAAAGGGTTTCAAGTGACATCCTGAAAAGGGACCAAAAACATGTTTGTTTTGTGAACTTTAATTGTGTTCCGCAACAACAGGGAGAACACTGTGTCCTTTGGCTTATCTTTGACAAAGGGAATAAATATACTTTCAAAAATCTGTGAATGTATATAGGTGGTTTAATGCTGGTTGTTGCGGTTCTTATCCATAAGTCACAATTTATTTAGTCATTTTTATTAGACAGTGGTTCACATCCATTTAATCTAAAAATTACTGTAGAGAAACTTTTAGCAGGGTAAAATATGGACCATCCAGCTGGAGGTGACTAAGTAGAAACAATTACTGGATGGTATGCTAAAATAAAGAACATGGATTACAAACAAGTAATATTTAAGTTAGAAAAAAAAAAAACATATTGATGGTGCATTCTCCATCTTCTGACATGCTTTATCCCAAATGGGGTCACGAGGGGTGCCAGTGCCTATCTCCAGCTGTCTACAGGCAGGGTACACCCTGGAAAGGTTGCCAGGCCATCTTAGGGCAACACAGAGACAAACAGCCATTCACGCACACACTCACACCTAAGGAGAATTTAGAGAAGCCAATTAACCTAACAGCCATCTTTTTGGACTTTGGGAGGAAGCCGGGGTACCCGGAGAGGACCCACGCATGTTCAGGGAGAACACGCAAACACCATGCAAAAAGACCCCAGGCTGAGAATGGAACCTGCAACCTTCTTGCTGCAAGGCAGCAGTGCTACCCACTGCACCACTGCGCTAAAGTCTGATCGTCTGCACTGTTAAAAAACAGAAACAGTGTCCTATGTCAGAGTGCTTAATAGGAAAGTCAGATGTTGCGAAGTTCAATATAACAGCTATGCATATTAAAAGTAGGGAAAGGGGCAGGTATAAAGTTATTATCAGCAATTATTTTTGTGTCTCATTAACTGAAAAGTCATGTTATTAGTAAGCACAGAAACAATTAGGTGAGGTGGAGGGATATGGTCAGCTGTGCTTTCCTGTGGCCTCTGATTTCTACCTATTTTAAAGATGAAGAGGAGATAAGAATACTCTTCAAAATGGGTTATTTTACTAAGAGTCCCTAAGGCATAAGAGGATTCTGTGTAGATGATTGTTTCTTCTGCTGCATGAGGAAAAATTCTCTGGAAAGCTGGCAGAGTTTGTGTTGAAGTATGTTTCTTCTCTAGAGCTTATATGAATTGTTGTATCATATTTTAGGTCAGAAATCATTCTTTTTTTTTTGCAATGAAAATCATGTCCCTGTCATTATGATGAAGAACACTAAATGGTATTTAGATTGCTATGTTGAAATAATTGAGCTCCTTAACATTATTAAATCCATCCCATTGAATATGTTAATTAAGTCGGTGAGTCTTTTCAGGTATTTATGTTTACAATGAAGGTCTGTGAGGAATGGCAATGGTCAATGAAAAAAAATCCTGCTAAAACCCTCTCAACTCTTCACAGGTTTTTATCTTAATCATCTTCATCAGCTGTTATCAGTCACATCACATGTGTTGAACTTGGTAACTTACAAAAAATAAACTGAAAACAAGAAAGAAACGAACCAACTTGAAGCCTCGCTTTACTTTTATAAAGTCTAGGCCCATTTGACCAGTAGAGGGAGTTGTACACTAAGTAAATAGTGTAACGAAGCTGTTTGTGCAGGAAATATTTTTCATTATTTGTTCTTCTTTTTTTGAAGCAGTGAACTCAACTAAGCCAATAATAAAAAATAAAAATAAAAATAAAAAGCAGAGAAGTGATATTAAAAAACAAACAATGGTAAAGCGTGATTGCTTTATTTTCTGTTACGATTAAAGACATATTACAATTTACTGCAAAGTTATCTTCCTTAAATCACTAGTTTCAAATACCCAGTAAATATGTGGATAAAACAAAACTATTCCATAGTTACCATTTAATCACTAACACATACGTCCCAGTAAAATAGTGTCTGTTTCTGACAGTCTGTTGTCTTAAATGCATCTCAGAACAAAGACAATATAACCTACACAGCATCTGCAAACAATAAGTTGCATTTCCTTCTGCCTCTCCTTGTCTGTATATTTTCAGTTTCAACACCAATGGCAAGACATGAAATTATACATAATTGCTGTTGTTTATTGGATGTGATAATGGCACCTTTTAAACCATATCCTTGGATGGGCTAAATTGCCTTGCAATTGCTCTGGGCTGACAACATTTGGAAAATTCTCACAGCAAGCATTTGTCACTGTGCCTTTAACATTGTCAACAAACATAGGCAAGGTCAAGTCACATACATTTTATTTAGCCAATTCTTCTAAGTTACAAAGAATATATACTATAGCAGTCAGACAGCATGTTGAAAAGTACTATACTTAATTTCTATCATAGTTTAATGTAGAGGATGCCCTCTTTGAAAGCTTAAACTGTAACCGGTTAACAGTGGATACGTACTATGTAATAAGATGACAGTGAGTGAAATCTATTGTGAGTATTGGATCAAAATAATCCTTTATAAAAAAAAAAAACATTTTTAAAGTATATACATTCTTTCTCTTGCTACAATTTTGTAAGTACATTTGGTGCAAATAGCAAAATGTGGCAAGAGTTTTGATTTTGTTAACAACCTTATTACATTTTTTGTTCCCTTTTCAAATGCACAGGACTATAGATGGCACAAAGACAACATTAAAGTATAGTATCAGTATAAATTCAAGTAATTTAAATGTTTGGAATATTCACCTATTCACTTATGTAGTAGAGCGGTTTCTTGTGCCAGATACTCTAAAGGGGAAACAGTAAAAGAAAGAATGGCAGGTTTTGCAGGCAGAGAGGAGACAGACTTTTTTTTTTTTTTTCTACTAACTGGACTGAGTAGTTTTGCATTTGATTTGGGTCAGTCTCACTACTGGAAGCATGAGGTTATATTTGGACAAGAGGTTGCACAGGAAGTCCAATTCCACCAGGGTGGTGCATTCATGTATGACATTACCAGACAATTTGCTGTACTTCAAGACATTCTCAAGAGGATTTCAGAGATTTTAGGAGACAGGCAGCTGATCTAGAAGTGGACAGAGTTATTGGAGAGAATTAACCCATCAGAAGGACATGTTTCTGTCTCTAGGTGCAAAGAGTAAGTTGATGAATCCAACCACATCCCAACAAAGTGTTTGCCAGAGCGCCCCTTGATTAATGTCTTGGAGCAAACTTTTGGAATTTGGGGCATGGTGGTGGCACAGGGGTTGCGAGTGATCCATGTCTGGGAGCCTTTGTCTCAGACAGAGATGACATGGGTTTGAGTCCCAGCCTGTTGACCTTTGCAGTGTCTTTTCCCCCTCACTCCCATTTCCTTTTTGGCTACCTTTAAAATTAATAATAATAAATGGTACTGTGCAGAATATCTTAAAGAAACAGACTTCAAGAGAATGGGGCCAGGGGCATAATAGGCCCTGAAGTGTTGAGCTCAACGAGATCAATTCCTGGCCCAGGTCTTTCTGCATGGAGTTTGTAGGTTCTCCTTGTGCACGCAGCCGTTCTATCTGGGCACTCCAGCTTCTTCCCTGTCCAGTCAAAAAAACATGATTGGCTTCTCTAAATTCTCCTTAGGTGTGAGTATGTGTGTGAATGATTGTTTGTCCTGTTTCTCTCTGTGTTGCTCTGAGATAGACTGGTGACCTGTCCAGGGTGTACCTCGCCTCTCGCCAACTGACAGTTGGGAGATAAGACCAAGCATCCTTCGCGACCCTAGAAGGGATGAGCGTGACAGAAAAAGGATTTGATGCATGGGTTGGGTTGGTGTCCTATACCTATGAGATATGTCTGTTTTAACACACCTGAAACAAACAGCTAAAGTATCTCGTCAGAATGCAATCAAGTAGTCCATACAAACACTATAAATCACTAGTCTCATAATCCAAAGCTGAAGTGCATCAGCGGTTACTAAGATAACTGTTGTCCTAATGGTGCTGGAAGTAAGGAGGTAGAAAAAGAAAACAGTATATTACCATAATAACAGCCACAGTCCACTCAAAGTTTTAGAAATATGCATTAATTATTCATGTTTACTGTGTGTGACACATACAAACCTTCATATAATTTGGTTTGTATAATGAAAAGATTCAGCCCTTAAATACATTTGTCTAACCTGTGTTTTTTGTAGTTCTTTTTCCAAAGGCTATAGTCCCAGGTGGTGGTGCATCTGTGGTTGCCATAATAGGTGCTGTCCGAACATGGCTGGCGGTTTGGAGTGAGCTAAAACCAGAAAGTGGTATCCTTCCAAGCACCAATCCAGTTAGCATAGAGAACTTCGCCACCACAAGGAGCTGTAGGGTTGCCCATAATCCTTTGTTTGACAGAACATATAGGCACAGCCCACCTCATGGAGTTAAACAAAAATACACTATTTTGTGACATGTACTGTGTGTGACACATGAAATCTCCTCACCTTCATTGTTCGAGGTTTTATGAGGGAGAGGTTCATTTGTTTGCTACATTTGTTTTTTTGCTTTTTGTTTTGTTTTTCTGGAAGGTTGTCCAGATTTGACCAGCATCATTTATGTGTTTGTCCATCACGTAATGATATCTGGAAGGCCTGTCAGTCTGGATCTCTTTTCCCACCCTGGAAGAAGTTCTTACTGTTGACCCCCGGAAAAGTGAAGAGAGAGGAGCTAGGAACAGGAGGTAGCTGGCTATAATTTGAGGAATTAGTGATGGAGCCCTGGAGGTGGTAAGCATCATCACTGTATGTTTCTGTTGTGTGATGACGTCCATAAGGCTGAGGGCTCTTTGAATTCGACTCTGCAGTCTGGAGTTCCTTCCCTACCCATGATAGCGTTCTTATTGTTGACACAGCAAAATGGAACAAAAGCAGAGCTAGTAGCAAGTGCAAGGAGGAACAGTTTACAGTATTCAATTGGACCAGGAAAAAGGAATTAGTAATCCTGGATTAGAAGTTTCATGTCCATCCATCCATCCATCCATCCATCCATCCATCCATCCATCCATCCATCCATCCATCCATCCATCCATCCATCCATCCATCCATCCATCCATTCTCTGACACACTTTATCCTGAGTGGGGTCACATCTCCAGCTGAGGCAGGGAGAGGCGGGGTACACCCTGGACAGGTCGCCAGTCCATTGCAGAAGTTTCATCTCTATCCTCAGTAATTAATACTATTGTATTCAACTGAAGATGTTCAGATTGCAAAACACGTGTGTAAACAGAAACTTCTGAAGGCAGTGAGAGCTATAAACAGTGTTGGTATGGATCGATAATCCCATGTCTAATCACTCCATGTAAGCTGGGTCATTTAATTCTTTTAATGCAATTAGGTTTTATATTTTAATTGTCAACATTATTTAACCTATATACATAAATATCAATACAGCATTTAGGAAACCACTAGAATATGGGAGTGGTGGTCTAGTGGTTAGGGCATTTTGCTTGGAATCCAGAGATTCTGATTTCAAGCCCCACTCCAACAGACTGCCACTCTGGGTCCCTGAGCAAAAGAAAAAAAAGAATGTGAGACGTGTACCTCCAATTTCATCAAAGTAGTTAAAGTGAGGTAACAGAGGCTAGGTTTTAAATAACAATTTTATTGTAATACTTCATTGACAGTACAAAACAAAATCATACAGTCAAGAACACCAGCGAGCACAGTACAGCAGCACATGCATACAACTTGGGACAAAAATAACCCTTCAGTGTGTTACATGTACCATAAAGGGGAAACACAAGTCATTGCTGACCAATCAGGGAATAATTTCTCAGGGATCTGAAACAGCTTCAAACGCAAAAAAAAACCCATCAACCTAAAAACAAATACATTTTAATATATTCCTCTTTAATATCCTAATTCTGAATAAATCTATTCTCTAGATAGATAGATAGATAGATAGATAGATAGATAGATAGATAGATAGATAGATAGATAGATAGATAGATAGATAGATAGATAGATAGATAATTTGAATATATATTATTTACAAATAATTTCATTATTACACAATACACAGATTTTTTTATTTGAAGAAAAGCAGCTTTTTAAACAGTCTTAATTTACAGTTTTGAGTAAACTATAAAATTAAAGCATAATGCCGTTCAAAGGAAACATGACAGTTGATACTTTCATGTAAGGAGGACTGACAGACTGGCAGAAATATAGTGGCAGTGATTTAGTAACAGTTTACTTCTTAAGGGAAAAGTTGTGATACAAAATTATCCCATTTATGGAAGTATCTCTGTTCTTTGGCTGATCAGTGATTCATCCTATCTGGTCTAGAGATAGGGCAGAGAGCCTTCAAAAGGTCAAAGTGATTTTAGCCAGTTTGGTAAGAATTTAACTATTTATGTAATTTTCTGTTTCTGTTAATACATTTAAGCTGTTAAAATTAATGTTGCTGAACCCTTGGCTGTCAGTTTTTTTTGCTTTTTTGTGAAATTCATGTTTGATTCCACTTTGGTCCATCTGCAGTCCTTGGCACAAAGATCTTACCACTGCTATACTAATAAAACTCTGACATAATTTTTGCTTTGAGCAAAACTTTGGACCAGGTGTGAATAGCTTTTAATCTTAGAGCACTGAAAATGTATACACAGTTACATCCTTCATAGAACAACCTGATATAGAAAAAAACATTGTTCTATATCTAGTTGATTAGCAGGCATTAAATTAACCTCAATTAATAAAAAATACATCTAAGCCGCCAAATAAAACTAAAAGGCACATCACTTTATTTTCTAAGTTTTCAGTGTTAGTGACTCGTCTTTGAAATACTTCTTTCTGCTTCTCACAACCCTGCTCTTTCCTGTTTTGAAATGATTTCTTAATACAGTTCAGGTAGAAATGTGAAATACTCAAGTAAATGTTTTATAGTTATACATAGAATCCATCCATCTATGGTTATATGCAAAATAAGGTATAATGTTACAGCTCCTTCACTTTAAAAATAAAACAAAAAACTTTTAATAGGTTTTTTTTTTTTATGAATGCATGTGATTGCAGCAATTTTCATCTGACCAGTTTAAGAAGTGTTTTAATAAACAGGGAAAAACATATTTTTGTTTAGTGTTATCTTAGTATTTCTAAAGCCCCAATTCCCAAAATGCTCTGCAAAAAGAGTTCAGTTGCTCCCTTTAAGAAATAATGACAGTAACAAAAGCTTTCCTCTGAAATACTTTTGCATTCTCCAAAAAATACCTCATGGTCTGATCTAGAAGGATCACTAAACCCATTAGTGATCTCAGTTGCAATTCAAGACATTATGAATAGATTGATAATATAAAACTAGATGATGCTTAAAAAAAAAAACATCCCAGTACCTGAGCTACCACCATGAAGGCTGCAGAGATGTCAGTGATAGTAAATACTCACAGTAGTTTTACCACTGATTAAGCTACAGTATGGATACCATTGCACCGGTCTTCCTTTACATATCAAAGAATATTAATAATTAACTGATGGTGAACAATTAATAGAATAATTAAAAAGGGCCTTTTGGGGGCTCTGAGGTTTCCTTTTTGCAAACCTTTTGTTTAATATCTTAAAGTTTATGTTCTAAATTGTGCAACAAAAGGTCAGTTGCTGTTGTTCATATGGGTTATTCTGACACCTAAATAATATTAATAAAATTTAAGAAATAATAAAGTCAGTCTTTCGAAGCAATAAGCAATTTTGATATTTAAATATTTTAAGGCTTTAGCAATCATAACAGTCATTAAGTAAAGAAAAAAACGACATAGTCCTGTCTGAAACTAAGATTCAGTAAGAATATATTTGTTTAATCATTTTAGTGCTAAATAATTATTAGGTATGTAGATACGCAAAAATGTTAAATAAGCTCTCAGTTTTAAATCTATTAGAAAAAATAACATAAAATATTCTATGTAGCACCTCTACAAAATTAGTAATTTAAAAATCTGCTATCCCAAATCTTCTCTCTGAGAACTTCAAATAATGTTCACTATATATTTCTCTGACTATTCATTAGCAGAAATGCTTACTGTTATAAAAAGAGCGATTCAACACACTAATATCTAGTAGGCTAAAACCTCCATTTATGTTTTCATGAATGAATGGCATTTATGGGAATAGCAGTATGAACACCAGTTTTACTGAATTAGTCATGTGCCTGTGGAAAAACAGAAGATGTCGGCCAATGCACAGTTTTACACATCCACTATTAAAATGTAACAACACTACAATTTCTGTGGATTTTATTTTTTCTCTTTTTTTTCTTGGCACTTTTAAACTCTGCATCATTTTCCCTGCAATCAGTTGCATGGCTGTCTTCACTCTTAAGCTCTTTAGACTACTTTTTTGCATGCATCCAGCATCTACTCTGACATTCTTTATCTTTCACTCCGTCTGCGTGTCTTTCTGCAGCTCAAACAACCAACCAGTGATGCAGCTGTGGGATAAAAACAGAGCATGACTTAAAACTACAGACTTTAGTTGTAAAATCATGATAGACATGGAGCGCTAAACTGTAAGATCAAGGAAGTGAGAACAACATGTGCACTTGAAAATCTATCTTTTTCAATTACTAAGGATTAAGGTTGTACTCACAGTGAACTGCCGCACCTCCCCATTGTCGACCAGATGATGCTCTGTCTCAGGGGTGATGGCATAGGCTAGCCGCTGTAAGGAAAGTGTGATTATCGCTCATCATAAAACAGTTAAAAAAGATCAAAACACAACATGATTACAGATACATTGTTTTGATCATGGAGACTCACATCACAAAAACTTCCAGGTAGTGTACAGAGTTTGTAGATGGCATACAGTGGCACCATGGTCATTGAGGACATGGCGAGACACCATCCTAGAAGGTTAGCCCATTGAGGAAACATGTAAGAGCCGTAATTTGGAGGGTTGAATGTGGCAAAGCTCACCACAACCATGAACTGTACATAGAAAGAAAAAAAACAACAACAAAGAAAACACATTTCAGACACTCTTTAAACTGGTAGTCTTGAGTAGAACTATTGCTTGGTATCAGCTTTGTGCATGTTTCCATTATGATGTACAAGTCTACTGTGGGTAGGACTCACAAAGAGAAAGCATGGGCTGACAAACTTCCAGCATAGTCTCCAGTATTTCCCTGGTCTGTGGCCGATCATCTCTTTTATGTCATCGCTAAACCGATCCACTCCTAAACACAGAGAAAAAAAAAAAATGAGAGTCTGATCCTAAACTCTGATATGTCAAGATGGTTGGTGTCAGTCTACAATTGGGATGTTGGTAATATTGACACGTTTCAGCTTTGATTTTCAAATGTAAGCTGGTTTATTAATCTTTGTTTTTGATGTGACAGTTCTTCTTGTTTCATTACAGGTTACCAGTAAAAGCATATACTGTGGTGTTGATCCAATAAAGGTGATCGACAATTAAAGCTTCATGTGAAGTGAAATTGGATGTCTGAGAGAAATTCTGTCGCAATCTGTCATCATTTCACAAACTCACCATGTGTCTCCAGTGACCCCTGCCTGGGAAATGTAAGTACGCTGCACACATGGGCAGAGTTGGCCTCATGGACCGTAAACCTTTTCAAGACAAGTTTTATTGACCACAATATTTGGGTGGAAAGTGATGCGCTCAAGTTTCAGGTCCAGATTTGTCCATTTATAAGCTTCATTAATGAGATTTATTAATGAGGTATTACAATTCCAGTTATGAACACTCAGTTAATCCTTAAGTATTAACAAATGAAAGTAATGTAATGAGAAAAGCTAATTTTCTTCTATAAAAAGAACACCATAGATCTTTCACAATTCTGTTTCCAAACTACATGCACTATTCAGAATGGGAGTGCATCAAAGTTACACACATATTTTGATCATACAACAGAACATGATGTTTTATGTAACAGCCATTTTTTTTTTAACCTTCGGACTAATAAAAGAATTTCTTCTCACAGAATTTGATCTCACAATGCTCCAATGTGAGATCAATAAAGTTAAATTATATATAACATTATGGGAGACAGTCTTTTTCTAGATCTGAAAGCTATTCTCTGAGATAACTTTGACTTCTTGTTAGTAATGATAAATTGTATAATTTTAGAGGTCTAGAAACGCAAGAATCAAGTCATTTCTCAGACATGTAAGATGGAGAATATAACACTGCCAACTGCCACAAACAAACTAATAGTTGTACACCCTTGCATGTCTGTAGTTGTGCGCATGCAAAATCTGTATTTTTTAAATTGCTTTTAAAGTGAGAGAAAAATAGCAGGATATAAGAAAACTAACGACCAACAATGTGCTTAGAAAAATACATCACAGAGAGCAGAAGGAGAAAATAAATCATGCTTGTACTTTTCTCATAAGATGTGAGATTTATCTGGAAATTTGAGAAAGTGAACGAAGAGGTTAATTCAAAAGTCTGATTCATGTTAAATGGGAAGTTAATTTTAATTAGAGATTAGAGTATCATCCTTCTTTTTCTTTGCCTCTCTACTTGTTAAATAAATAGGGAGAAAAAATAAGAATGGTATAGTCAAAATTCACATCCTGTAAAGTTCCTTTTGATCACAAATATGAGCAAGATCTGTACTTTGCAAAAGGTAATCCTACAAAGACAGACATTACCTTCACTCATTCCTTTTAATTTTTTATGACTTTCTATCCAGTGCTTTGGTGCCCGGAAGGCATTCCTCAGCGCAGAAAAATATATCCAGACTGACGACCAGGTATTTAGTTCAACAAATAGTCCTAAAGTAGCAGACAGCAGAATCAAAGACCACAGTAGCCAGAGGGTCAAGGGTTTCTGTCAGTAGTTATAAGGGAAAAGACCAATAAAAGTCCATTGAGGCCTCGGGCTTGATTTATTGGGCTTGCCAAGGTCAAGACCAAGCAAAGGGGCAATAAGCTGACCCCTTTGCCTGAGGCCTTGATAATATTCAGACAGTTTTTTTCACCTCTCCAAATTGTAGGTAAGAATCCGGGGGGGTGGCGGTGGGGGATCTTTGTATGGAAGTTAACATCAAATTCTGTCATACCAGATGCTTTTCATTTGTCGCATGTAGGCTACATGCTTTAATACCCACAATCTGTTTTTGTTATAATTATCATAATTATTATTATTTATGTTGGACTACAGTAAATGTTACAAATGTAACATTTTGTGTGTATGCAGCTTAAGGCCCCATCACGAATGAACCCAGTACAAGTACTTTTTAACAGCTCCAGGAACTAGATAAATGGGAGAGAAAAAAAGGCATACCGATAAAAAAAACAAAATGAAAAAAGAGATCTCATCAAGAAGTTCTACTAGGCATCCTTCCAGCTGTAGGACCAAACTGCTATCCCCTACTCAATCCATTTACTCATCCATCTAGCTTTCTATATTCTTCCGTCCTTAGCTTCCACACAACCCTTACTGGGGGCCTTTAAGGTCATCCCATGACTCCAGTGCTCAACGGGCGGGAGCTTGGGTAAACCCTGAGTAGGTCATAACTACATAACATGGCCAACACAGGTCACCAGGACAGACCACAATGCTTGCACACCGGGGTTATTACAGGGAACTCAATCTAATGAAACAACAAAAACTGATATTTGAACATTTTTAGCCCACCATTGTTGTTGACCGGATTAAATAAAACAGCAATTAAAAGGAAAAACTATAATTAAATAAACTGTATTGTGCTCTTATAAAACTAACTTCATGTAGTGAAAATATTACTTTTTGTCCATATATTTATAAGCCATACAAAGAGAAAAAAGTTATTTTGCATTTTTTTCACAACAGTAAGTTTCTATCAAATATTATTGAACCATCCTTTGAAAATGGCATCTTGTATTATGTCTTTATATATATATATATATATATATATATATATATATATATATATNGTAAAGAAGACATTTTAAGCTATTTAGATGCTCAGTTAACTTGGGGAATGACCCTAGTAAATAAACATGGGTTGACATGATGCGATTGGGAATATATATATATATATATATATATATATATATATATATATATATATATATATATATATAAACATAAACAAAAAAAAACTGTGACTAAAGAGCTAAGGATCGTACTATAACTAATGAAAACTAAACTAGACCTAGGATTTATAAAACTGATAAAAAGCAGAAAACTCACTGAGTTATAGAAAAGGGGTTAAAACCAGATTAAATTAAACTATAATGTAAAATCCTACACGTTTTAAGCTTGATGTACACATCTAAATCTAAGGAAAGTTAGAGTGAGAAGCTGTTTCCTAAGGAAAGGGATGAGAGTGTAAATAGTTTGTAGAGAGACCAACAAATCCAGGAAAAGAAAATGAAAATGTTTCACAAATACATTCTGAATCATTTTGCCACAGCTTTGGTCACATGGAGGTACAGTGTAGATGAGAATAAAGATTTATCTTATTATTTTATATTAAAGACTACATATTTTTAAAACAGCAAACAAATAACTAGATTTAATTCAACCAGAAATGCATCAACTGTGGTTGTTTGTCAGATTATGACAAATTGGAAGTATTGAAGCAAGAATTTCCATGGTTTTTGACTCACCATTGCTGAGTGAGCAGAGAGGTAACACAGTCAATGTTCAGACTCTCTCTTTTTTATAAGGATCACACCGAACAGTTTAATAAGAGCCTGTGCATATCTTGCAGGCAGACCTGCAGAGGCCAAAACTATAAGTAAAAATAAACTTTCTTTCATCTAATAAAAGGTATGTTGTTTTTGGACACACACAATACTCAGACCAACCGATTTCTCTTCATGCCCTTAATAAAGCATCAGCTTTGCTGGTCAGGAAAAAAATGAAGTGGTTTCTTTTCTCGTTACTTTTCCTCATCTTTCTCACCATAGAACCAGGCGATGCCGATGGCTTCAATAAGCACTCCAAAGAGAATCGATGTTCCTGCTGCAAAGTGATCCAGCAGAGTAAACACATACATCCCTCCCTGTAGGAAAACAGAAAAACACAATTAAGCTTAATAAGTTTTGTTTGGCAATGTGAAAGATTTTATTACATGGTGGTCATTTTTTGGCAGAGCAATGATTAGTCATTTTTTTCTCTTCTCTTTTTTTTAAAAGTCAAGTTTAAATACAGTTTAATTTAACAACATTGCAGAGATGATTATTGACCAAGCAAACAAGTCTGGCCTGCAAAAGTTTTCTGGTTCAGGAAACTCACATTTGTGACACAGAAGAGGGATATGAGAAATGTTGAAACAACGATGAACAGGGTGAACAGCTCTCTGTGTTTGTGAAGGAATTTAAATTCATCTATCACCCCTGTGATCACAGACTCCATACCACCCATCTACGTATAGGAAGAAAAACAGGAGTCAAAAGAAAACACAAAGTTAGAGAGAATCAAACCGTAGACTGTGGTCTGATATTATTTAGAGAAGAAAAGAACAAAAAAGAAAAACAGTTAAAATACTTCTTTACCTTTATCTACTATAGGATTTTTTTTTGTATTTAGCAGTGTCAGAGTAGCTCAGGGAATTTGCTTCCAACCTGAATCAGAGATTATTAAGCTTGATTGATCAGTGTACTATTCCAAAAGAAAACTTTTAAATTAGATCTAATTAAAGAATTATAATGTGCAAGAAGCTAATAAACTGGTAAGTGTGTTTTCTTTCACGTGTCTGCAGTTAACTCCATCTTTTGGAGAGAAACTGAGAGGGCAGATTAGTATGAAGGCCCCCAGGTCTATTGTGGAACATGGTCAGTTCTGAATGAGGGCAGTCGTTTCATTCCAGTTAAGGTCAGGGTCCACATTTTCTATAGTGTACATACAATACAAGGACAACTTTTGGTCTAAGGTTGGTCACACTAATCACAAGTATAAGATAAAACAGCTAGTTTAAACCAATTCTAAAAACTTTGTTTTATTTGTAGAAAAAAACAGCTCCTTAATTAAAATTTTCTTTTAAGAAAAACCTTACAGTCACAAATCTAAACGTGACCCTGCTCCTCACCTGAATAATTGCAACAGTCACAGCAGTAGTTATAGTAATAAGTCATAAACAAAAGTCTATTTATAATGTTGTTATGACTTCCTATAATACAGTTATTAATGAGAAATGGTAAAATTTTACATAAACCAAAAATTCAAATTTGGTCACAAAACTTAGATTGTTATGTTTCTACCTTACATGCGAATAAATAACCAACAGATGTTGGAAACATAGCATCACAGTGAATTTCCAAAAGTGTTTGTTCGTAATTGAGGAACGTTTTACTTAGAGTGGTTAAAATAAGATGGGTTTGCAGAACTACTTACTGCACTGTCAAGACCAAGTGTCAGCAGCATAATGAAAAAAATCACTGCCCACACTGATGACCCAGGTAACGTAGCAATGGCCTCTGGATAAATGACAAACACTAACCCAGCACCTAAGGAAGAGAAACATCAAGCAGTGAGCAGTAGATCACATGGAATGATCAGGCCTACTTTTGCAATATTATGAAACAGAATTTTTTTTTTTTAACCCTTTGCTGGGTGAGTTATAAAAGTAAGAAGTTATTTTGTAACCTCATATTTGAAAAAGATACAGCATCAGGATTTGACGGTGTTTGACAGTGGATAGTGATGGTTAGAACCAATGAAGCAGCTTTAATGGGGTGCTCCGAATCTGCAGCTGGCAGTTAAATCAAAAGTGCAAAAAAAATTTTTTTTTAACTTTCAAAAGGTTAATTGACACCCAAGTATCATTGAATCATATGGAGAGTGGAGACTGACTGGTATGGTGGTGTCTAACAGACAACCTGTTGTAGCTCAGATGACTACAAAATCTGGTGCTGGTTCTAACACAAATTAGCATCACAATGCTTTCTTTCCCAATGGTCTACATGGTTGCAATGCTTTCAGAAGGTAAATAATATAGGCTCATTAAACTGGTCTATTTTAATAGAACACATTTTCTTGCCAAAAATCAAATAAATTAAATAAAGATTTGGACAGCATAAGGTTCTAAATAATTCAGTGCAATAATACTTTATAAATCCCAAAGGGAAATTAAATTCAGATTGAGCAGATTTCAATAAGATCATGTACTTTTAGGATGTGCTGGACAAAGACTAATCCATGGAATCATAACTTCTCAGTTTTGAATCATTTAAAGTTTCTACAGGCAAAATAGTAGTACTGGATACCACAACACAACCTGAGGTGTGTGCCATCATTCTGGCAGTAAAAAAGTAAACAGCACTTTCTTGGACATGGGCTCAATGTTATATCTGTTAGGTTGATTACATTTGTTTATTCAAAGCTGCATCCATGACAGAGAGGTCAAAAAATAGCTCATATTACACAACATATACTAGTTTTATTGACATATACTGTAAGAAGACAAGAAATAGCGTTTTAGAAATGATAAAACAATAAAGGCAATTGTGTGTTCTACTTCTAATAACATATTAAATTAAGAAGTTGTTGTCATTACAAAAACCTACCATCTCTTGCAACTTTATCTAGAGCCACGTTGTGTTTATGGGACATGTATCCAAGAAAGGAGAAGACAACAAATCCAGAGAAGAAACTTGTCAAAGAGTTGATGGAGCTGGTTATGATGGCGTCCCTTGGTGAAACGAAACAGAAGTCAGAATGCGAGTGCACTGTCACAACCAAAAAATGCCAGGGCAGTGTCCAGGCTTTTTTTTCTATTTTTATTTTTTTCTAAACCTGTGTAAAGCTAGAATGCTAGTTATTTCCTGGTATTTGTGTCAAATTGTTAAGTGACAAACTATCTACTGTTTTGTTTTGGTAAATTGTAAAAAAAAAAAAAAGATTAAGCAAAGAATATGATAGAGAAAATCTTTAAAAGCGGACTAAACAAAATATATTTAAGCTTAACTTGAAGCTACTTGGGGTAATCTAATTCTAAACCTTTTTTCTGTGTTTAATCTCAGTTATCACAAACAATATAGAAGGGAGGGTGAACGCTTCCTTAGGCTTATAATTGTCCAAGAATTTAGTAGTTTGCCTTTTAAAGATTTTTGTCACCTAGCTTCTTGTCAAACACATTTGTTTTTAAACCTTCAAAGGTTATTTTTATTTTACCTGCTTGTGCAGCATGCATGCTTGAACAACAGAAGTTCTCCACCTCTTTCTGCCTTGATGAACCTCCACCTGCCTATCACTGATTTGTGTGTGTGTCTGTGTGTTTGTACCTGTAACAGTTGTTGCTGAATTTGTTGTAGCTGGAAAATGCAATTAGCACACCAAACCCCACACCCAGCGAGAAACAGATCTGTGTTGCAGCCTCGATCCAGACCTGGGGAGCGAAAGAACAAGCACACTTGTGTGAAGCGGCAAACAAAAGGCGCAGGAGAGGAAAAAAGCCATTATTAGAGATAATTGCAGGAACTCATTCAACAGCAGTAGATGAAAGACACATGTGAATACGGGGGGTAATTTTGCAAATTGCTGCTCCATGCATCTATTTAGTCTAATTCGCCAATTGCTCACATAAATTTCTCAGTGTCTCTCCATCAAGGTGTCTCAATCTTGGTCTTCCATGTTTACTTTTAAGCTCCATGACAGCTAAAATTAATGAATAGCAGGTGTGGGACAGTAAAAAAGAAAGTAACATTTTGTAATCCTGTTAAGGCCTATTACTTGCCTGTATGAGTCAATAAAATGCTTAATTGAATTCTGATCCATGTGCTTAAAAGCATCAGCACTCCAACAACAGGTAGCTCACTTTGTGTCTTCGGGGTCTTTAACTGAATTGAAAACATTTCTGAAAAGTTGAGCAAAAGGTTCCATGTCGCTTAAGGTAGTGTGTGCCTACCACGACCCAGATCACTGAGATTTTCCATTGCCATTTTCAATTCTTACTTCTCACAGCAGGCAAGATCTTCCAGATCTTAGCAAACAGCTAAAACACATTTCCATTTAATTTCAAATGAACATATAAAATAAAAGCTAAAATAAATAAGAGAAAAGTGTAATTCATATGTATATATACAGTAGGACTGCTCGCTATTCTAATAGCAGGAGTAAAATCACCATACAGAAACTAATGTTCATTATATATCTTTGATATATTTTTGTGAATCATGGTTGAATGAAAGTTCAGATGCATTCAAAACAACAAACTGTGAAAAAGTTTGTTACAAAGGGATCAAGACAAAGTCTTTTGTTATGGTAACATGACATTACATAGTGCTTTCATATCTGACATAAAGAAAGATGCTAAATAGGCAAATATAGCTCACAGGTGAAAGACTGAAGGGGTAGTTTAAGAGGGGAATGCCCATTGAATGTGACAGGAATTCCAACATCTTACCAACTTCAGTGGCTTCAACAAGCATAAGGATCAGCAGCAACTTAGTTGAGAGCTTGTTAAATTATTTTCTCATTTTGAAATGAGTGGGGCATATTCTGATTTCATACCATCTCCAACTGCAGTCGATGTGGCACTTGGTGACCATAGAAGAAGTCTGAAGTGCTCTCCACATGTGGATTCAAAGAAGGCTGTAGGTGCTGATGGGATTCCAGGAATAGTCCAGAAAGGAAAGTCCTAACCAGTTTACTGATGGTTTTTTTTCCCTCCCACCTCCAATGTCCCCATGTCCCTCAACATCATGACATTTCTTAAATCTGCAATCATTGTTCCACTCTTTAAAATCAGCTGCAAGCTGCATGAATTACTATAGCCCTTTGGCTCCTACATCCGTTGGAGTATTTTGGATGATTAATCTTAAGGCACATCAAAAATATCCACCCTCTGTCCAACATCAGTTTGCATATAAAACCAACAGGTAAACTGCAGATGCAGCAACTACAGCCATACACAGGGTGTTTTCACATCTTGCTGTTCCTAAGCTGTTTATTGTGAACTTCAGCTTCACACGTCAGTACAGATTAGTATCTAAACTACTCAGCCTTGGCATGAATGGAAGCAAATGCATTTAGAATCTGTTCCTGTCCTTTTATAATTGTTCTTTGCAAAGTGCCATCCTGCCATGGTTGAACAACTGCAGCACAACTCACAAAAAGGCCAACTCAGAATAAAATTTGATGAATACAAAGCTGTTAGTTTGAGGGGATTATTCAATCAGAGAAAAAACCCATTCAAAGAAATAACTCTTTTGTCTTAATCACTGGTGATCTACTTATTGTATTCCTGCTGCCAACACAGTAGCTCCATTACATTTTAGTCTGGTTTTAGAATATATGGTGGCCTTAAACAAAAATTCCAAGTGTGTTTTAAAGGCTACAGGCTCAGAGCATCACAGATTTTCCTTTGTAATTCACAGTGGGCATAAGATGCTTTTCCACCAGTTCATCCTTGTCTAAAACCAAGCCCACATTCAGTGTTTTTGGTCCAAAAGGCTAAATATTAGTCTCATCATAGAAAGCAGAAGGTTACCGTTAAAATCCCAGCAGTTTAAAAAAAATAATGTGCTTCGATTTGTTATGGTAGGACAGAAAAGTTATTTTTAGCTTCGCTCAGATGCGTGAGGTGTGAAAATAGATATTGGTCCTCATCTAACCAAGTGTGAAGGGACTAAAGAAAATTATTTTGTCATGTCATATCCCCCCCAAAAAAACAAAACAAAAAAAACAATACATCATAAATGATTAAAAACAGTTCTAGGACCTCTGATCATCATAGAAAGTTAAATCTATAAATAGAATTTTTTTTCAGCAACATTTATTTATTAATTTATTAATTGCTAAGACCTTACATATGTAACTGTATCTGTTTGACTTCACCCTATTTACCCACCTATAACAAGAGTTCCAATAGTTATAGCTGACCCTTTGTTTTAGAGAATGCAAGCTGTGGTTTTTAACACATTAGTTTATTAGATTTCAGGTTTCGTAGAAAGTTGTAGGTCTGTGCTTGACAGAGAAATAGACAGATAAAATGTCAAAGTATTCCTTCAGAGAGCTTTCAGCCACCCCTTTCCTCCCCATGTGGCATCCCCTTCTAATCTCCCTTTTATCCTCTGGACTCACCTTGGCATCACAGAGTCTCAGAAAGTCGACAGAAAGGTACGCTTTAATACCATCGATGGCTCCAGGCAGAGTTACTCCACGGAGGAGCAGCACAGTCAGGACCACATAGGGCATGGTTGCTGTGATCCACACAACCTTAAAGAGTCACATGGCACAGAAACACATTATCATAAACTTACAGATAACCCAACCTTTACAACAAGAATAAATTAAAGCTGGCACAAAAACATCTACACAAGTGATAGAGAGAATGTTGAAGCAGGGATTTGAGTTCAACACTTCCTTAATTCTAAACTTAGTATGATGGGAAATAAGCGCAATAGATGTCTATGATTGTTTTACTTTTATAATGTCAGATGCAATTCCTACCTTGCCAGATGTCTTTACTCCTTTCCAGAGACTAAAGTAGAGCAAAATAATCACAACAGCCAAACAGGAAGTTAACTGCCAACGTGGACGTCCAAGGTCATCAATACCATTGCTGTCCTGAATATGGAGGACCGCTCGTCTGGAACACAGAGCATTCAGAATAGAATAGAATAGAATAATTGTAATTGTAGCGAGCAAGCTTGAAGTGCAACAGAACTCATACAAGCAGCTCAATAATTTAACAATAATCTAAAAAAAGAGATTATATAAATGATATAAAGATTATAAAAACATCTGGAACAATTTTACTCAGTAATAAAAGGAACAATAACCTCTTGCATACAGTATAGATAAGTATAAAAATCCTTGAATAAAACCTTAAAAAAACATTATTTCCCCCATCCCCATGCTGCATACAAGCCTCCTGCAAACACAAGCTCTGACTTGTTGAAGAAATACATATCTGCATACCAATTAAAACCAGTTTCTTTATATGTAAAAATGATAGTGAATATACTTTATTATACTGATGTGAATATCGGATGACTGATATTTAAGACAGCTTAGTATTACAAATTTAAATTCAATTCCATTCAATTCCATTCAAAAACTTTAGTAATCCCAGGATTTAATGGAGACATTAAATGTTACAGTAACTCATAAGTGTTGTTGTTTTTTTGTTTTTTTAACCAGGTGTTGTAGGTGTTGACAGCCATATGTAGGAAGGATCTTCTGTAGCTGTCTGTCTTGCACCAGATCTGGAGAAGCCTCTGACTGAAGGCACCGTTGTTTAGAAATCTTCTGAAGAGGATTCTCACTGTTGTTCATACTGTGCTTCAGTTTAGAAGAATTCTTCTTTGTGAAATAATTTCCAGAGTTTCCAAAGGGGTTCCTAGAAAACAGCCGGTCTTCTTTATAAGATTCTTTAAGTCATTTGCTCTGATGTTGTTACCCCAGCTTTTGATGGCAGAAGTGATCACACTCTCCACAAAAGACTTAAAAGACTTAAAGACTTAAATATGCAGCATCTTGCAAGAAAGGCCGAAAAAGGCCACAAAGCAATTAACCAGCTTCCTCTAATCAGCTTCTCGTCCATCTTTGATGCTAGAGCTTGGAGTTATTCTAACTTGTTTTCTAATGATCTCATACTGCCTATGATGATTGAAGGAAGAGACAGCTCGAGTATCTATTTCTCTCTCTTATCTTTGCTCCTACTCTGCATCCCCTGTGGCCGCAAAGTTGTTGGTGTGTGTTGCGGCGGCAATCTTCGAAACACCCTGGTGGACACCTGCGGTGAGGGAATCTGTCAAGCTAAAGAAAGAGTCCTATTTGGCTTTTATTGGGCAGCTGATGTGTACCGGCAGTCAAAGCAGCTGTTGGCTCGGTTGGTTGTTGAGGTAAAAGGTCAGACATGGTAAGAGTTTGGAGAGGCCATGGAAAAAGATTTCTGTATGGCTTCAAATAGATTCTGGTCCCATATCTGGTGTCTCAGAAGTGGGAAGCAGAGCAGTACCTGGGCATGGAACACTGAATCAGCTCTACACCCTCAGCAGGATCCTGGAGGGTGCATGGGAGTTTACCCTACAAGTCTACATGTGTTTGTGGATCTGGAAAAGGCATTCATATGTCCCTCGGGGGTCCTGTGGGAAGTACTGAAGTATGAAGTACCAGGCCCTTTAATAAGGTCTAGGTTAGGTCTCTGTATGATCAGTGTCAGAGTCTGGTCCTCATTACTGACAGTGAGTTGGACTTGTTTCCAGTGAGGGTTGGACTCCGTCAAGCTTGCACTTTGTTGCCGATTCTGTTCATAACTTTTATGGACAGAGGGTGATCCATTTTGAATCACGTCAATGCTATTTGCGGATGACATGGTTCTATTAGCTTCACCAACTCGTGATCTACAGCTCTCAGTGGAGTGGTTTGCAACTAAGTGTGATGGTTCCAGAATGAGGATCAGTGCCTCAAAATCTGAGACCATAGTCTTGAGTCAGAAAAGGGTAGAGTGCCTTCTTTGGATTGGGGTGAATGTACTGCCCCTAGTGGAGGAGTTTGAGTATCTTGGGGTCTTGTTCATAAATGAGGGGAAGATGGAGTAGTAGACTGACAGGATGATTAGTGCCACATCTGCTGTGAAGTGGACGCTGTACTGGTCCATTGTGGTAAAGAGAGAGATTTGCCAAAAGGCAAAGCTCTCAATTTCCCAGTCGATCCATGTTCCTACTCCTATCAATGGTCATGAGCTTTGGGTCAAGACCGAAAGAACAAGATCTCGGATACAAGTGGTGGAAATTAGTTTTGTCGGTAGTGTGTCTGTACTCTCCCTTAGAGATAGGGTGAGGAGCTCACTCTTCCGGATAGGACTCAGAGTAGAGCTTCTGCTCGTCCTCGTTGAGAGGAGCCAGTTCAGGTTGCTTTGGTATCTGGTCAGGATGCCTTCCAGATGCCTCCCTGGTGAGGTGTTCCAGGCAAGTCCCACCGGGAGGAGATCCAGGACATGCTGGAGGGACTATATTTTCTCAAAATATATTTTTGGGAACGGCTTGGGATTCCCTTGGAGGAACAACATCTGCGCCTCCCTATTGAAGCTGTACCCCCACGACCTGACCCCAGATAAGTGAGAGAGGATGGATGGATGGTAAAAAAAAGAAAATAATTCTTAATGCAGCTATTTGCTGAGGCTGCTTCTTTGACTAATCTTTATGTGGGACCAGGTCAGAATCAGCCTCAAGAGAGACCCTTAAATTAGCTTCTCCCAGATACCTGTCCCAGATTATCTGGGGAAAGCATGAGTGTTCCCAGGCCAGCCAAGAGATATAGTCTCTGAAGAGTGTCGCCTCGGCCTCCACCCAGTGGGATGTTGCTGAAGCACCTCTTGAAGGATGTGTTGGAAAGAATTGCTGGAGCTATCTCAGGTGACTTCTCTCAATGTAAAAGCAGCAACTCAATTGTGAGCCTCTTCCAGATTGCTTATTTCCTCATCCTATCTCTAAGGGAGTGTCCAGCCATCTTGCAGAGGAGGCTTATTTGAGCTTCACTCATGACCAAAACCTGGAATGCTTAAAGTCCTTTAATTGAGGAAGAAACTCCATTCCATCCTCCAACCATACTCACACCAGACCCCTTTGGCCCTTGTTCACCCCTGATAATCCTGTCAATGACAGTTATAAATAGGACTGGTCACAGAGGGTGGCCCTGCCTGTGTTTGTACCAGAAACAGGTCAATGTGGACAAGACTCTTTTTCCACTTATAAAGAGACTATAGGGCCCCTATCAAAGGGCTACTGAATAAAGCACCCCTTTACAGGGGACCACAAGAGACACAGTCGAATGCCTTTTCCAACTCCAGAAAGTACACATGTACTACTTGGGCAATCTCCCATGAACCCACAAGCACCCTGCAGAGAGTGTAGACCTGGTCCAAATTTCCATGGCTGGGTCCTCAATGATGATCAGTGTATTCTACATTCTGATAATATCCTAATTTAAAGTCAGCAGCTGGCCAACCCACTTTATACCACAATTGTAGTATTTGCAAGCAAAGAGGTCCATATTTCAAAATCACACCCTTCAAGGTATCACTGTTTTCCACATAGGTGTTGAAGTTCCCCGGTAAAAGGATGGAGTCCCCTCAGAGGGTCAGAGATGTGATTCAAAGTGTGTTTGTATAAGGGCCAGGATTTATTTATAACAAACATAAAAATGTCTTTTGTCAAAAGAAATGCTTTACTAATGGACAAATATCCCCAAGTTATCTTCAAATAAACATTTTTTAACAGTTTTGGTTCAACTAGCCAATAACTATTCTTGACAAGAGTTGCTAAAACAAATTAGAATGAGATAATGGCTGCATTTTTATGACAAAAATTGGAATAAACTTATATAAATAAGCTTTTTTTTCTGCTAATGCTTACCCCTTGAATAACAAGTTGGATCAATTTTGACTACAAGTTAATATAATACATATAAACATATCAAACATCATATAAAGCAACCTAAATTAGCAGACTGCTTGGTCTCTAGTTTTAAAAATTTTCATTGCAACGGTTTCTACATCCTGCAGATTTCTTCTGTTAGGATGAAAGAGGTATAAGGGCTGACCTATGTACTGATACTGTGTTGCACTTTTTAAAAATAATGTCAAGTAGAACGTGAGGTAGTAGAGACTACTAAAAGCTGACATTTTATAAATCATGAACAGTAACAGATGTAATGTGTTATTATGTGAAATGCTGTGTTACACACATTGGCTGAAAGATGGCATGATGACTTAATATTTAAATAACATAATTTTACAATTTTTTTTAATCAAAATGAGCCTTAGAAGAGAATCTACAATTATTTTTTAGCACGTTATTTGCAGGTGGCTCTGCAAAAATCCCCCCCGCCCCCCCTGAGCACCTCAGATATCAGGGTTGGAGAGCTGCGACTGTCACAACAGAACAACCCCTTTCTTGCTGGAAGAGAAGACACCTGCTCAGCTTTATAAAGAGGACAGTAACATCAGCTAAATAAAACGTAGTACATTGGTAGGATAAGACTTGCAATATACTTGCAATATACTGAATCTTAATAAACCTTTAAATGAAAGGTGTTTGTAATTATTTTTATTATCTACAATGTAGAGGGCATATGCTTCAATCAAAGAAGAACAAGACATTCTAAGTAATTATCAAATTCAAGCAAACTTACTCAAAGTACTCCTGTGCAGGTGTGGCTTTGTAAATGTCACCAATCGAGCTGTTGTCCGCCCAGTCAGAGCAGTTTGGGCTGTTCCAGGTGTTGTTGCAATGGACCCAGGGTAGCTCATAGGTGAATGAGGAAAATAGGTAAAACAGCGCCCAGGAGATGATGACGTTATAGTAGAAACCAACATAAAGGGAGATGAGAATCACTGTAAACCCAACACCTGCAGTGGACAGAAAGGATATTAGAGACATTACATAGAGTCAATATTTAAAAAGATAATAAATAAAACAAAAAAGCCCTATACCCAAAAATATACCAAACTTAATACAAACTGAACTTTTTACAGATAGTTTTAAAGTATAAAAGGTTTCGTAAGTGTGTTTCTGTATTCAGCCATCTTTACCCTGATACAGCAAAATAACATGGGTCTCACAGTAGCCAAAACCTGCATCAGTCCCTAAATGTCCACAGTATATGAAGTTTTATTTAGACATCCAATTTGTGCTTAGCATCTGTTGATTAATCTATTATAATTATAAATTTTTGTGATTTTTTTCTATCCATTATTTTATAGATTAAACCTTTTTAAGAATATTTACTAAATATTATAGATAAACATATACAAAAACTTTTATAGGTATATTACAAGCTGATTACTTTAGATATAAATCTCTGTCACACCAACTACAGTATATAATATCTATAGACAGAATCCAGGGTTATCCACACAGATGTGAAAATACCTGTATGGGACACCGTCACCATGGTTTCTTCTGTGTGACAGGATGAATGGAAACGTATTCTTAGTAAATACTTTGTCTTTTAATATTCCTTTCCTATTCTACTTATGAGTAAATGCTCCGCTTTATACGGTAAAAAAAATGAACTGTTTGAATTTAAGTTTTTTAACCATTCTTAAAGGTAAAGTATGCGCCTTAAAATAAATAAATGTAGTTTTGCCCCTGATACTGTATGGTACTGTATTTACAAGTATAATGTCTTAAGTGCAGCCTCAAAATCAGCATCAACAGATAAATATTTGACATGTAATTTATTTGAGTATCTATTCACTAATTATATATTTTGGCCCTGGTATTTAAGACATTCTATTACAAAACTCCTGCATCTTAAATAACAGCAGCATGACATCTAGAAAAGACTATTTACTGCAATGAATTTAACAAGTATTTGGTTTTTGCTCTACATGTTTGGTTTTGTTAGTTCCTCGTCTGTCTTACATACTTCAAAAAAGACTTTTCAGTAAAGATAGTTTAACTGCAAGCATATGGTCATCTGTAAAATCTGCCTGCAAGCTCACAAAAACAGCAAAAAATGAACTTTTAAAGACAGACACTTTATGCCTTAATTGTCAGCACATCTGCCCTTTTCTTGAATTTAAAGTTGTTTCCAGTCTTCTAAGGATGCAGTTAATTGCTGACCTTTGCTAAGACGCCTGACCACAACTGGTCTTTATTGATATCTTTGTAATGTGGATGTGATATTTGTCCAGTGAGCGATTCCCTCTTATTAGCACAACATGATGTCATGCTATCTCTCAATCACCCGTTTTGCTCCTTTTCTTCAAACGCATTGATCCTGAGAGGAAACCAGCTTGCTGATCAGAATAATTACTGTCAATACAGGGATGCGTCCTTGCATTTGAATAATTACTGTTATCCCCCTGCAGCGAGCACAAGAGAAGCGTGTTATTAGAACGTCAATGTACACAGTGTGGTCTCTGACAGGGGGCCCACACCCTCAGACATACTGTAGATAGAAAGACATGGAAACATTTGCACACTGTAGGAATTATTCCTACCTAAAGGACAGCAAGCAGCACTTTGGCAGCTCAGTGTGAACCAACAAATAATCCACTGGTATTATGGTATATCTCTGGCAGATTTTAGTACAAGGCATAAAGTTATTATATATGGATTTGGGAAAATTTTATAACTCTCTAAGAAATAAATAAGAATACTTGTAAAGGTGGATGAGCAAATTTAAAAGCTGAGAAAATAAATAAATCATTCTATCACTTGTTTCACCTGAGACTTTACTCAAAAACAAAAATGAGTCTTAATGTTTGCGTTTCCATCAGTGTGTGTTTGGACTGGCTTTCTCCTTAAACTGTGCTTCGCTTAACGACGTGTTGGAAAATACTCAGTGGGAGAGTGTCAGCTAGCGTCACCCCGATTGGACAATCAGGGAAAGAGTCTAAAAGCCCAATTTTCATTTGTTTTCCATCTGACTGGCAACAGAACCTGATGTTCTGGGAGGGATAAATAATGCCTGTCGCTGCTCAACGAGGAGACAGGCGGACAAAAGAGAGTGGCATGTGGACAGGCAGTCATGTGGGTAGACACACATAAAGAAAATCATGCAGAAATCGCAGGGCGGGGGGGTTGTCAAGCCGGAATGCAGGCAAAACCCCATCATGAATAGCATTTTTGTTTTGCATGTGCAAACATTCCTTCAACAACAGGTGTGAGAGAAGAATTTAGAATTTGAATTGTTTTCAGTCATATTTGGAAACCACCATTTTAAATAGAGGACTTTGGAACCGATCATTCAGGCTAATCAGGAACCAAATGTCCTAACCAAGCTGGTTAGGACATTTGGTTACCTTAATCCTTTGGTATTAAACAAATATCTATTGACAGCAGTAATATTTGCTCATGTCAAATAAGGTTGGATTAAATCAAATCTAAACTTCTCTTTTTTTTTATAAGATTAATCTTTTATTTATTTATTTTTTTTTTTTTTACAATTTTAGGTTTAACATCAGAGTGGGTTGGTTTAACATTTATGAAAGAAACCACAATGCCCTCATCTTCTATTGGCTCCAAGTTGTAATAAAGACAGGCATAAAGCCTAAAAATATGTTACACATGTATTACTAAGTTATGTGTGAATTTAAATTTCTGCTTCCATCTTTTCAGCCCCATAAATAAAAATGAAAAATATGCATATGACTGAAGAAGGTTAATGTATTGTGATCTTCTCAAACAGGGGGATGAAAATTAAAAAGCAACTCTGACAGACAAGGCCTTATGAGGATCCATGTCTACTTAACCACAATGGAGAATGACAGAAAACGATTTAAGGAACAAAAGTCTAAAGTTTACTGTAAGCAAACTATATGTTAACATATAAATGCAATATTCATTTTAAGGATTTTTACACATCTCTACTTCACTGACCAATAAATTCAGGGGAAGCTATCTCCATCTTACCCTTAAAAATGGGACAAATCTTCCAGACACCTGCTGCTCCCTCTCTGTTGTACTGCCCCAGAGCCAGTTCCATGTAGAAAAGAGGCATCCCTGCTATCACCATGAAGAACAGGTAAGGCACCAGAAAGGCTCCTGTTAAAAAAAAAAACTCAGCTTTATCTATATATCATTTATATTAAGCACATTAATACAATAAAAAGATCTTAATTTACAACAACTTTTCAGTCAATGAAAAATGTACTCTGATCCAAAACTCTCTCATTTATATCTTTGGTAGCATGCAATATGGCTCCTAAGAAATCTGTTCTCCAAGGACACTTTACAGTTTTAGGCATACAATGTAAACATTGCTGCATTTTAATTGCTTTAAAAGAAGAAAAAGAAAGATTGTTGCAGTTTTTGGATCATTCAGATGAATGTATGTTTCACCTAATGGAAACCTAAATTAATTGTAGCCATGTTTTCATTTTTTAATTATACTCTAAGTGCAGTTAACATTTATTAAAGAACTACTCTAATTATCATAAAAAGATTATATTACATGTTTAGTGTGCTATTAAAGCAAATATGCAATTTATGCAACTAATAAAAAGTTAACTATAAATAGATAGAAAGTTATTGGCGATTTGATTACATTATCGCTTTAATTACATTATTATTTAACATATTAAATCGCGCTTGTGTTACTAACCCTGAGTTTTTGTCTAAATTAATGTTGACAGTAAGTTATCTTAAAATAGGTCACCATAACCACTGATGAAGTCAAACTTTAATACTTAACTTTTACATATTATTAGTTTAAGAAGTTATAATTACAAGCAATTAAAGTAGTTGTGTCTTGGCAAACTTATGAGAGCCAAAAAATCTTACGCAACTTATAAAATAATCTATCCATCGTTAGTCCAATTTATTTTATTTTTTTTTTTTAAATTCTTTTTTTGAGAAAGCATAAAAGCCAAAAACTAAATTAAATCATCTAAAGTAGTAATGTAATCTTTTGGTATGGTGAAAAAACATACAACTTCACAACTGATTGTTTTTCTGCTGAAACAAAAACAGCCTTCAAATGATCTGTTTATAGACTCTTCACTGATATTCCTTAAACATCGATCTTTTAATGAAAGGGAAATTTTCAAATTAATACCATGACATATAAGAAAATGACATGACAACATACCAAATAATCCATTTCTATATATGTATGTCTAGTACTGAACTCTACAAAAAAAAAAAAACGCCATTATTTAAGTTAACTTGATTGTCTTAAGCTTGTTCTTTTGATTTTTTTTCCCCCCACAAGTTAATTGCGGAATTGTTATTTAAACTATACACACATGTTAATAAATTTATGTTATTATATATATTTTAAAATGCAGCAATTTGTTGCTAATTTGGTCTATTTTCTTTAACCATAACTCAATGTGCAGGTTGGTACATGGCTGATGTCGGCCCTTAGCATGGCTAAAATGCCATTTCATTTTTAGCCACAGCACCCTTTGCAGCCTCTAACCATAATGACAGCTCTATGTTAAACAGCCATAATTAGTGACACTGATTGTTAGAGCTAATCTATGCAGAGCAGCTGTGGTGTTTTTCCAGCTACCGTAGTTTGATCTCTGCAAACGATTGTGGGAAAGAAAACAAAAACTGCAACCAGTAAGACTTGTGCATGGTAAAAAATAAACACTATAACTAAGAATCTGGGTAACTTCTGTCCTCCCACCAAACGATTCCTTCAGCCTTATTGTCCTCACCTCCTCCATTTTTGTAGCAAAGGTAAGGGAATCTCCAGACATTGGCGAGATCAACAGCAAATCCAATCACAGATAGGAGGAAGTCGATTTTCTTCCCCCAGGTCTCTCTCTCTTCCTCCCCACTGGGGTGAGTCTGGGCCGGAGCTACTAAGGTGGTGGAGGTGAACTGGACCCCATTCTGCTCCTTTACAAGGATCAGCTCCACCTGAGGGACGTTTATATTTTTACAAAAAAAGCATGAGATGGATTTCTCACATAGTCTGCAAAGAAAAAAAAAAAACACCTTCCTGTTTTTTACAACTCAAATGTAAGATCTATATTCTATTTATGTCAACAAGAGTTCACATCATGACATGAAAACGGATCTATTTGATCTAAAATGTGTGTGCTTTTGCTGACTCAGACTCCCTGGATTTTCCTGGATGGAGCAGATGGTGACTCCCACCATCAGGGCAAATAAAGGTTTTGTACTTTCAACTGCAACTTGTAAACATTTATAAACATGCATAATAATAAATACATGAACTGCTAAAATAGAAAAACAACATTTAATATGTATTAATACTTCAACCAAAAATAAGTTCCTTTTTTTTTTTTATTTACATTTTATCAAAGCTGTTCGTACCTCTTTGGGACCCATGTTAGATGAAGATTTTTCTGGTGCTGCAAGAAAGGACATCACTTCAGCTGTGAGGTGCCAGTAGTAGAGGAAGTGGAAATTCAACGATAGGTGTAATTGATGAGTCTTGAATGCAGAATGACACAGAAAACATAAAAAGAGAGATTAATTGCTTTATATGAAATTGGGTTAATGACACCAACTCTAGTAGCCTCCCCAGGGGCACCGCACACTGCCTCTATCAAGTCACAATTAAATTAAATTAAACAATAAAGTGTTAAATTGGCTTAGACTAATGTTATATTTGTATATCATAAATGCCAGTAAGATGTTCAACAGGTAAAGTTGATTGTGAGCAAAAGAGTTACATAAATTCTATGTATCTTAAGAAAAATGGGATAATGCATGATTTATTTATATGTTATTTAGCTTTAAAGTTATGATATACTAGATATTATCCGGAGGAGCAGATAATGGGGGGAAAAAAACACAACACAGAGTGATTGGGTCTGGACTGAAAGTGACAAGATGAGATATAGGAGGTTTTTTGAAAGGTTATCATTTAATAATAGCCATTTTCTCCATTTAATGTTTACCAGAAATATGCCGACATTATGTTTTATTTCATTTGTATAGTCAGTACTATACAAATACTATACTATACAAATACAGTAATAAGTAATGCATGTAGTAGTTGTGAATTCTATATGTTGAGCATGTTTTAGAAAATTAAACATGCTTCTGTAAGAGCTCGAGATTTAAAAATTCAGATCTATTAAAACTGCCAACTGATGTGCAGGACCCTGTAGCTATTAATTCAAAGACAATGTTGGTCAAAGCTAAATATTTCCACCAAAAAAACATTTTTAACAGAAAAACATTACTTGTGCAAGTAAAACACTTACCTTTCACAAAATAAATTCCCACTAGTTGCAAAATTTGGATGATTAATTCCGTAGCTTACTCAGCACGTTTCAGATTGATTGGATCATCTTTGTGTAGACCTTCCCTGATGAGTTAGGTGAGGATTGGAATTCGAAAATTTAAGCAAAAACAAGAGCCAACAATCACTGAAAAGACTTAGAAAGGAGAAGCGGATTAAGACAGGAAAAAAAGATGACAGGAACAGGCAATCTGATGAGCTGTGGAAATACCTCCCACCCTCCTGATCTCTGGTGGCGGACACAAAGATCAGAGCACCCTGTGGTCTTATATGGAGATCTGTCTGTGGGACCTCTTCTGAAATATGAGGAACAATAAACCTCACTCCCCGTCCCCGTCACTCTCCTCCCTCCCCCCCTGCCCTCACATAAGCTTCATTCGTTCCTGTCCCTCTCTCACGCATCTTTGAATTTTCTCACCTGATGAAAGCATTTACTTGACTATTAATGTGCATTATGCACAGCTGCCTTCTAAAAACTATAGAAGAGTTAATGTCTCAACAGAGGCGGACACACAAAAACCTTTAAGATATAGATCAGTGAGGATACTGGATTATTTACACTTGGCCCATACGAAGAAAAAGTATTCACTTTATGAGCAAACCTCAACAAGTCCATTTTTAATAATTGTAGCTTAATATCGGGTTTAATATATCAACTCATTCATTTTTTATGTATATATTTTAAATGTTGCTGAATAGGTTGTGCAATTTCAAGTTGCAAAAAGGGAGAGAAATGACCCTAATGCATGTATGCATTAATACATCCATTCCCCAGATTTCTTAAGAAAAACAGAACAATACGTATATATTTCATAAACTACCCATTTTTTTAAAAGATGCATGGATTCAAGCAAATGTCAAAACAGTCAACAGAAAAAATAAACTTAAAAAAACATTTGTTTATTATATGCTCAGCAATTGGTAATGCAAGTCCCTGTTTTACAACAGATTTGAACAAAGATGGGATTTATGCCAACTTAGTTAAGGTGCTGGAAATAAATACATTTTATGCAAATCCATCTCAATTAGGAAGAAAACTATTTCAAAATTCGTGAAGAAATACAATTACATAAATAAATTTTCTATTTAAATGATTTTTGACTCACAAATGTACTTCTACTTTTAGTAAGAATCAATCATTGCTGATAAAAAATGCAAATCCTGTTGGAAATACTCTCACAAAGCAATACTGTGATAATTAAACCAGATTGCATTGTGTGCATTTACCAAATCCTGTATGTTATAAGAAGAGGCATTGCTGACTGTATGAGTTTTATACTGATGCAAAGTCACAATCTGTAAATCAGGACTCTTCAAGCCAACTCTGAAATTTCAAAATGAAACAATTACTTTGCACCACTGGATGAAAGTTAGTGTGTTTCTGTTTAGAGCAGGGAAGATGCATAGTACAGCATCTCTGTTTCTGGAGTTACTTAACACCATGGATGGGGTCGTTTTGGTCCATAACCTGAATACATCTGATTTAGCTACAACATATGAATCTTACCAAACACTCTTTAATGAGCTTTGCCTCAATTTTCAAAGGTTGCAATTATCCCTGTTTATTTTGTTTTTTCTTCTATACTTTTACCCCCCTGCATTACTTGGCTTGGAGACACCACTCTGCTAACAGCCTGCTTCTTCAATAATGAGTAATGAGAGTGAGGGTCTGCAGGACAGATGTCAAGTCAGTCTGTCTCAGGATTTTGGACGAAATTTAATAACTATAAAAGAACTTTTGCGCATTTAAAATGAAATGTATTTTAGTGGTTTTTGTGCAACAGTTAATTTTTTTAAGAACTACATTTAGAACATAAATCATAATTATCTAAATAAATAAAAATTAATGGCTGAAACATTTCACTTTTTGTAAAAAAAAAATAAAATATCTGAAACTAATGGTGAAGCTATGCATTGTATTTTATTTACATACATTTTAAAATTAGGAAATTACTGAGACAATCCCCTGCAAAAAGTTTTGTGTTAAAGATGCTAATAGTCTCAACACTAACATTAAAAAGGTTTTAAGAAACTGAGTTATCAAACTAAAATGATAAACACATAGCTGTTCACATGATGCCACCTGCTACTAAAACATTTCCTCCGTTTTCCTTTGGTGTCCACCTCCTCCAACCTACCTACCAACCAACATGGTCTGTAAAACCATAAATCCTATTATGTGTAATGTTCAACGGTCTCGCACAATAATTCCCAACACTCAGGCCTCTCCCATTTCAAACTCAACCCAAACAGGATCAGGGTGTCAAATAACACAATCAGCTCTCTCCCCACGGACAGATTTATGACCCCCATGGTGTCCAGAAAGACAGTTTCTTGAATGCAAGCCTATCAGGGTGATCAATTGGCCACTAATCCCCAAATCTGCAGCCTCCACAATGTACACACCTTTAAAGTGCAACCATCAATCAATTCTCAGGTCTCATAGCAGAAATTGTTGGGTCAATGCAAGCCGTGCTGGAAATATGAGATTTTGAATGCAGCTTTGACAAACAACAAGTCGCACATAATCGAGTGTCTTGTTTTCATAAATGCAGCAGCTGAGACCCAGAGAGAAAGGAAGCAAGGGAAAGGAGGGAGGAGGAGAGGGGAAGATGGAGTAGAAAGAGAGGAAGGAAAAATAAATGGGTAAGGAAGCATAGGAAAGGAAGGAAAACAGAAGAAAATACTTTGGTCAAAGCATCTGTCATCCACATCCTGGCATTTTTGTCCCCATTCTTCTGTTGGTTCTGCATAAAAAAAAAAAATCTCTGTTTTAACAAGTCTTTACAAAATCCAAAATGAACAAAAGGTGAATGAGAACAATTATGCACTTAGTGATTCTGACTAGAACCACTTATTGGGGACAATTAGAACTTTGCTCATCAAACCCAGGCAAGCATGTCAGCCATTGAAAAACACTAAGTCACGTCATCTTACAGCTCAGTTGAATTCAGTGTATTTGAAAGCCAAAAACACACATTTATGAACATTTCATATTATTTTATTTGATACTAAATAATTTTAAAATCAGATCAAATGCAGTTATATATATATCCCAATGCAGTGAAATTCTGTTTATAATACAAAAAGCTATTGGTACCAAGTTACTGAGGTCATAGCAATCTTTACTTCTGAGTGAGCATGTGGAGATAATAGAAATAATCCTTCACCAGGACTCAGCAGTGTGTGCAGCCATCTGTTGTTACTGAGGGAAGGTTTAGGAAGACACGCTTAAAAGGAAAAATACAAAAGCCATAACTCAAGTCTATGCATGTTAAAGAAAATGTAAATTAAGGGACAAGCACACCATAGAGCCAGAGGAAAACTTATGAAGGCCTCATATATGAAGCATTCTGTTAAAGATCTATACATGGAGGGTAGACTGCTACTGACCTCATCAGTATTTGTCTACTGTTAATGTCAGATTGGTTTGTGATGAGGCATTTCAGGAGCCCCCAGATAAGTGAAACATTTCTCCTTGTAATTAACATTGGATCCGACTCATCTTTGTAGGTTACAAGTCCTTTATTATATCAAACATCAGCCCCAAATATTTGAATGTTAATAAAGCTTTTTACCAAAAAATGTGAGGTTAAAAAATGAAAAAAAAATGTGGTACCTAAATCTTTGTTTAAACCTGTTTTAATCAGCAATAAGGGCTGAGGGTCTTTTAAGAAATAAAAGCTGATTAATTCATTAAAACAACATATAAATTAGCAAGACTCTGTGCCAAAATCTAACTACTTATCACATTTCTGCTAAATCAGAATTATTGAAGTGCTTGAAAACTCCCTAAAAAAAGGGACAAAATACTATAAATGAACAGAAACTCTACAAAACTGGACTGCACTTCGTCCTGTTCCCACAAGAGGGAGACAATATAGAAACTAACAGGAGAAGGATGTTTTTGTTTTCCAGAAATTACATCATTTTAACTTAGTTATTTTAGATACAATAAAACCTTTCTCATGATATCTTCCAATTTAGACAGCACATACATATAACCCTGTATTTATCTTAGCAAAAAAAATTCTTAATGAAAACAGACAAGTTTGCATATTAACACTTTTTCTTTAATTTCATCCAAGAGTCACATAAACACGTTACATAAGAGCCATTATGAACAGATTCAAAATAGCTTTTTTGTAATGACTCTTTAGCATCAAAATGCAGTAATAAAATAAAACTTGTTTAATATAGAAAAAGACAGGAAGAAAAACTAGACAAACAAAAAAACATTTTTAGGTGTTTCACTCAAAAAGCCATCAGAAAGACAACATCACTCTGTAAGAGCACATAGTTCTTTCGTCTTAGGCTCACTGCAGAACAAACTGTGACTAACAGGCAGCAATAGCATAATTAAGCATGTCTCTTGCAGGTTTACATTTTCCTGGCATGAAATTTTCATGTTTGTAAAAAAAGAAAATAAATCTCTAGAGGTATATAACAAAGAAAATTAAACTGGAAATAAATCCATCCAAAGTCAACCCTTATACATTAAGCTTTAAATCCCAAAAAAGTGTAGATTTGAATTTATGTGTAATCAGATATTCTGATTACCTAAAAAAAGAATTTCTTCTGGGATGTTTGTTCCACTTTTCATGTATTTCATAGATTGACACAAATTTGGTAAGATATACCTAAAATACAACAAACTACATTAATGGACTTCTCTTAAATTAAATTACTTAAGGTAACGTTTAACACTTCATTTAATGATGTAAACATCATCATGGCTGCTAAGTCCAATGAGTTTACATATTTATTTTAAGAGTTCTAATTTTCCTAATTCTGACAAGTAGGACGAGCTTTGTTAAAGCACCAGACAGCTTTTGTGTCTGATCTTCAATTCTGTCTGTGCTCCTTCATAAAGTAATAAAAGTAGATTTAAATACTGTGGCCTATAAACCTAACATGTCTCAGAGCATTCCGACTTTATCTTTACAAAAATAAAGACACTCTAAAGTGCAAGCACAAATGCATACAATTCAGAAGGAAAAAGCAACAGTAAGGACAATACTTTAAGATTGTCAGAAAACAGGAAATGACAGTATGTGTGTGCAGTCTGGAGTGTTTGCGTGACACGGCCCGTCATGCGGTGGTATTTCACCTCAAGGCGCTTTGCACTCTATACACTCGCACTTAGTTCAACCTGCACATCTTAAACTTAAAAAGAAATAACAAAAGACTTTTAAACTTAAAAAGCACATTTTGGAAAACCATGTGGTCTTAGGAAAATGTTCACTAGAGATCAGGGCTTTTGAGGGCTTCTGATTGTGACAAGATTGTCTGTACATTCTCTTTTTAGCATAAAAGTTTTGTAGAGGCTATCAAGGCTATAGGTTTCCATATGAAATCTGCATTTTGTTCTTAAGCGGTCGACTCAGCGACAACAGCAATAATATAGCAATAAAACTTTACACTGTTTAGGAGCAATAAAGCACAAAATAACTAAAGTTGTAAAAAAGGAGAACAAAAATAAATGTGGCTCATTTGTCTTGATCTATACAAACTGCAAAGCAGAGAAGATCACAGATCTTTGTCATGGCAGTGAAAAGAATAATAATCATTCATATACGTATATCAAAAATTCACAAAATGTCCCGCATCCGGAATATTCAAAATACATAATAGAACTTCTAAAAAAAGCATTCATTAGGAGAAGGCTTAAAATAGGAGGAATATTGCTTCACTGAAAGTCAAAAACAGAGGATATATAAAGGATACCAAAAACAAGATGAGAACATGACAAATCGAGAGTTTTGGAAATTAAGTTTGATTGTTAAACAAGTAAATCCTCTCAGATTTTCCCTTTTCACTTTTGTTTTTATGGAAAAATTAAAGAATGTAAAGAAAAGCTTGAGAAATAGAAACACAAGTCATTGCAGGAGAATAAAAAAAAATATTTGTAGTAAGAAAATGTTTTAAAATAAGCATCTACATAAATGGAGATGAACAACAGATTTTGTTCTAATTTGGGTGGCAGCTGTTCGAATCTCACATTTCCTTCATTAAAGATCAGCATTTCAGACATTTGGAAGGTTACTAAGATAATTAACATTTCGGAAAGAAACTAAGTGATCATCTCACCAGTTCATTTAAAACTCAATGAAGAATATTTCCTAAATGTTCCTTCTTTTTTTAGCTGTTATTTCAAAAGCAGCTTCCTTTACATCTGGTTAATTCCAGTATTTAACACATATCGGACACATTTAGGGCTGTAAAGTCCCTCAAAATAAACGTCATACATTGCAAGTTTGCTCAACATTTAGAATGAGGAATAAATCCTGCCAGAGATGGGCCTTTCTTTACAGTTTTCTAATGCAAAAGTACCTGGGTTCAGGTTCTCAGTGACAAAAGATTTCCTTAATAAACAGAAATAAGGTCCAAACATGTAACAGGTGCACATTCTGTTATGCTAAATCTATCAATAATTAAAGTAACAAAAAATAAAGTTCAAGAAGAGAGCAATAATATGCATCCGTATTACTAAGTGGCTAAAATAAGGTTGAGAGGAATGTACCTAAAAGTCAGGTAAGTTATTTACTTTCAGTGGTCACAAACTATAATTGATCCCTTTTGACTGCCTCCAACACAAGTAGGCATGCGCCGGTTAATAACATTAAGGTTTTAAATATTACGGTTTTATGATCAGGGGAAAAAAATCTAAATAAAATGACTAGAACTTGTTTTAATGAGATGCCAGATAAAGTGACAAAGTGTCCTCCAGGTGTGTGAGGTATAAAGCAATTTTATCACATCCTTTTAAATAAAAGCTATTAGATGGCGTTGAATATCTCGTCAATATGGTGATACTGGAAAAACATGGTCATTTTGTTACCTTTTAGAAATCTCATACCGGCCCATGCCTACATGAAAGGCAAACAAAGACATAAAAGGGCGCATAATCAAATCACCCAATGTATTTTGGTCCAAGTTCTGTGATATCAAAAGAAATTGGAAAGTCAATCTGTATGAAACTATGAAGTGAAACGACAGGAGATCATCTGCGCAAAGAACAGCTTACATGCACATTACCTACAAATAGTCAAAAACCATGACATCATTGTTAATTTTTCCATTTTTATCACTGAACCCTGAGCTAAATAATATATCTGTGTTTACAGACACACATTCACACACACACACACACATACACACACTCGTAGCAATTTTAACCATTGACGTGCAGAGACCCGAGATAACCTCAAATATGGCTGCTGAAGCTAAGCGCTTCCAGCCATTCTTCACTGGTTCCCACAGGTCTTCTTTTTTTCACAGGGATAACTGCTCAATATAACATGAGTCTATTAATTCTGCATTTTCATGTAAAAGTTCAAAAGGCAGCTACTATTAAAAAGAGGAAATGGACAAAACATTAAGAAAAAAAAAGGTATTTAAAAAAAAAAAAAAATGTCTCTACAATCCAGAGATTGTTTGCGTCTTGGTGTAAAAAACATGCATGGGAGAGAAAATAAAACTAAAATAAAAATGCCCCAAGAAATCTTAAGTGCTTGCCCTTCAAGTATTTAGGCATTGTATCCCAAAAAGCAATTATTTGGCATTGTGACAATTCTTTCTGTGAGAAAAAAAAATTGTGTACCAAACTATGTCCAGGGTGAAATCTGAATCTTTATGGATACAATACCAATAAGAAAGGGTAAACTTCTTTTTCTAAAAATGAAATGTAGTCCTTTACTGTGTCTACAAGTTACTAATAAGTAACCATCATTGCCTCTTACAGAATCCCCTCTCACCAGGAGAGGTGCTTTTTTCTTCCTCTAATTTCCTTTAAACCTCTTTTATTTGTGTTTCTTCATGAGTGCATCTATGGTGCCATCGTGATATTTAGGGCTGAAGTCAGGACAGATACCATTGGCTGTTTTGGTATTGGCAGTGCCATGCAGGTTTAGAGAAGACGGGTTGTTTTGGGTATGTTGATCGTGGCAAGGTCCAGTCTGAGGACCGATGCTTTCAGTGTGAAGATACTCATCGGCAAAGTCTGGGTTCTCCTCCACAAACCCTCTGAATTTATCTGAAAAGACCACAAGAGGGAGCCAGAGACAAAGACATTACAAACATGCTGGTGTTTTTAACATTTCCTGGTTGCTTAAACCGTATAAAGAAAATTAACCAAAATTAGGAATGGTTCTTGTCTTACCAAATGTAAGCTTGCCCGTGTCATCTATGTCAATGGCTGTAAACAGACGGGACACCTTGAGGTGAGTCACTCCCAAAGCCGTCTTCAGTATAACTGCCAGCTCCCTCTCTGTGATGGCACTGTCTTCCTCTGCCTCAAACATCTACAGAAGAGAAAAAGGATACATTACAAGGGTTAATGCATGTATAACAGTTCCTCTATAAGGATTTGCTGGCTAGTTTACTGATGGGGTTAAGTAACGCCCTAATGCACATTATATTGTGTTCAGCAAGATACCCTGGTCAGGTCACTGTATGTCGTCTTCTTATGTTTAATTTGTAACAAAATAAGTTTTAAGATGTTTTCAAATGAGAAGGAGTACACTTCAAAATTTCACATATGTAGTCAGTTTTCCAGGAATTAGCCAGTGTTAGAGCTGAGGAGGACTCTAACCCTAATGCTGATTGGATAAGGAAACAGAGTGTATGTGCAGTAGCTGTTGCCAGCCACTCTCTTACACTGGGAGTGTTTTCATAGCGGAGGACTCTAAGCAGGTGGACTCACAATTATTACAATTAGGATTGCATTATTATGCTATATCTGTTGATCAAATCTTTTCTAAAATAAAAAAAATATATATTAATAGTGGAAATAAAAATGTATCAGGAATATCAAATCCAACTATGCACAACATTCAGACACTTAAGGTGGTAAAATCTAAGTTGTACTTTTTGTGAAGGTTAAGCAGTAATTATATATATATATATATATATATATATATATATATATATATATATATATATATGTGTGTGTCACAATCTCTCAATTTATTTACTATTTAATCCCATTTACAGTAATTTATGCTCTAAGAATATCCTGTTTCCTTTACAACTACCACTGTACATAAGGTGTAGAACTTCCCCATAAGTGATTATGAGGATTTACTTAAATAATCATCAATCATTTGAATCATCATCATCATCGTCGTCATCAATTAAACAGGATTCCCTTACCCAGGTAAATCCTGGGGCTATGGTGGAAGAGGGACTAATGGTTCATTCTATCTGATGGTAAAATAGGTCAAATTCTTGGCTTTATTTGTCTTCTATCTATTTTATTCAACTTAACAATAAACAACCAAGCCCAATGAAGGAAAAACCTACCTTGAAGGCCAATTTCATTGTGTCCAGAGTTTTGGCAGGTCTGCATACAACTGATAAGGCTATCACATACTCTCTAATATCCATGCTTCCATCTTCATGCTGGAAAAGAATTATGAAAATAACGCTTATTAATAACCCTTATTACAAAAGGACTCCTGTTTTTTGTGTGTGTTTGTTTTTTCACCTCATCAAAAAGGGCAAACATGTCACGCAGCATGTCTGAAACTGGCACATCGAGGAACTGAGCAAAGCCTTCCAAGTCAAGTTTCTGCCCTTCCATCTTCCTGGCTCGGTTCCCGTAGTCCTGCAACACTTTTTCAGCATTCTGGGGTTTCAACCTGTGGCACAGCAGGGGAGGGGACTCTCATTTATAATCTGTTGAATATTATGCATCATGTAAAAAAACAAATAAAAAGATGACTGCAAAAACAATTGAGGCGACTTTGAAAGTGGGCAGGATTGAATGATTTGGTCAAAAATTAAAAGTGCAATTCTGATTTTATTTTTCTCGCACTAACCACAAAGATTTAGAGGGTTCACTCCAGGGTTTCATTGTTTTCATGGCTATCATCTATTGTGGCAGGACTGCCTACTTCTACTCTGATTCATGGATTATATTCTAGCTGCATCAGGGCTGGAGCGTGAGGATAAGTATCTTACTGCTGTTAAAATAGGGTTGGAGAATAATATCAATATATGTTTATAGTATATTACATTTCTTAAATTTGAATATACAATATAGTCTATAATATTATAATAATATAGTTTGTCACTAATTGATATTCTAGGTTTTATGTGTTGTGTAAAGCAAATATGTCTAAAATTTAATACTGGAGAATAAAATAATTTTTATATGTTTTTACATGAATTTGTTGGGGGCGTTGTTGGCAGTTTTTCTGAGGCTTTTATTTTGTTTATATCAATAGTGAGAGCATATCCAATCGACCAAAATGAAGAATCTGCCCTTAAAAAGTACCACACATTTTGATAAGTATGTGCAATCCTTCTGCTAATCGGGTCACAAATCATACCAAAATCAGATCTCTGTTGAGTTCCTGTTATTTTTTCATTGCTCTTTCATCCCCCTTTGAAGAGTGCTATAAATTGGAAACCTTTACTAACCCCAGTCTCCTGACGAGCTTGGCAAACTCCAGCAGACAGGTGTCGACCGGCAGTCTCAGCTGGCCCTCTGCCATTGCCAGCTGGCAGTCTTCAAATGAATAATCTGTGATGGGTACCCCCAGGGCTCTGGAAACACCACAGATGACAGGATAATGACAGGACTAATCAATCCTTCACTTAAGTTATATGTTCTCCCTTTAAAAAAAGATTTATCCTTTCATTACTATAATATAAATCATTTTGTGGTCAAAGATTAACTCCTGATTGAATTCTGGCCATTAACAAAATCTGTGTCCTTCTGAGTATCCTTCCTGTAACTTGCGTCATGCATAAAACCAAATACAGAACAGTACAATTAAGTCTGCGAGAAAAAAAAAATTTAACTACAAAAAAGGACATAAATACATTCCACTTACTTAGCCATGATTCGTCTCACGTTGACAGCAAAGAGAGCAGGATTCCTTTTCTCCTCTTCTGAGGGGGTGTAAATGGGAAGAAACTGCACAGAACAAAATTAAAATGTGATCTTTTATCATTTAAATTGCTGCATGAAAGTAAAACTTATAATTTTTAAGAAAGGTGTGAGGTGTAAGGTATTCTTGACTTTTACACTTACCTCTATGACAAATTCATTGTGGATCTGACATAGAGTAAGCCACAGGATTTTAAATCTGGAATGGAGAAGAAAAATAAAGTTAATAAGAATCGTACAAGATTTCTGAGACTGACCAGCAAAAAAACAAAACTCAGGTTTTCTTGTTTCCCCCTTTTCACTCAGTTTTAAACATGGATTGCTATTCATTACACACAGGGTTAGCTATTAGCTGCACTAACACTACAAGCCAACAATACAACTGATATTTCAGAGTAATTTAAAAAGCAAGTAAAGCTCCTCCATCATCAAGGACCATACAGACAATAAAAGTTACCACGATCTAACAATATTAGCTTCACAGAAACAGTAAATGATGAAGTTCTGATAGTCTGTGTTCCTATTAAAATATGCTTACTAGGCGTTATTCTGAACCAAAGCGCAATTCTACAGCTATACAAATTATCACAGAAAAATCCTAATCAGCTGACGGCTGAGTTGGCCAACCAGAGACGGCCTCTAAAGACTATTCCATCGACAACTCCAGCCGAACTCTGCTTCTTCTGCCTCCACATGTAGCACGTTTCCATTAATCCAGGGGTGGACAATTCCAGTTCCTGAGGGCCGGTATCCCGCAACTTTTAGATGTGCCTTTGGTTCAACACACCTGAATCAAATAATTATGTAATTAAGACAACTCTGGAGGAACTGACAACATACTGAAGAGGTGACTCAGCCATTCCAACAGTGCAGGAGAAGGAAAAGGCTGCCCATAAATTTACAACCTGGATTGGGTCAAACTGCTGGAAGAACTTGCTGAATCCCTGAAATAACGCCCAACATAGCTCTTAGTTTTTAACTTTCGTCTCAACACAGCTCTCTAAATTTCACAGTAAATGCCCAAGTTGACTGGACTTCAGAAAATAGAGGCCCAACCTGAGCAGATAACATGGTATTCCTAATCACTGGCGTTTGAAACTTCTCAATCAGCAAAGTGAATTCTGCAACACTACACTTCCTCCAGACTGTGGAGCCTTAATTTCTAAATCAAGCGCAAACTTAATTTTCATTTTAAAAAAGGGATGTTGGGATATCGAGCAACTCTACGACAATACATTTATTATGTCTCTAGTTCAGATGATGCTAGAGACTAGGAAACATTCAGAGCCTACGGGTACGATTCATACACAGCTTTTAATGGCTTGACTACAGCTTTAGTCCACTCCTTGTGAAACTCCTCCAAACTGAACAGATAATTCTTGGGGCACTGAACTGTCTATGAATTAAACTGTCTATGGATTAAACTGTCTATGGATAAAAAAAAAAAAAAAATAAAATAAGGGGTGTTAGCCGTCTGGACAGCTGTCAAAAAGCAGTCATCTCCGCAATGGTGTAGTGCAGGTACTATGTTCATCAGATGACATTTAAACACAAAATAATATTTCTTTCCTTCTAAATCATTACTTTGGGAGTTATGTAATTAGGAGTTATGTATTATAGCATTAACTTGGTGTTTCCATTGTCTGCAAGTCTTGCAATGCTCTGCAAATTATAAAATTAACTTTTTTACATTATTCTTGTCTTGCCTCTAAGTCGTACCTATAAGTTTGATGACTCCATATGTAGTAAGATATCCAAACCTTAGAAAAGATCTAGTTGCTTTTTTTAGTGATCCAAAATGGTCGATCACACCATATTTGTACTAAAATTAAAGGGATGACTGAATATAATTTTATTACTGAAATGGCAAGCTATATTATGAATGACTTAAGAGTAAACATTCCAGGAAATAAGTAGAAGCATTTTCAGAGCCAAGACATTTTCTGCATTTTAGGGGGTCACCAGCCTGTTCATAGCTATGTTTGGCATCAAACTGATATGCTTGCAGATACCAATACAAGCCGAAAAGACAAACTTTGGCCAGATGATGTATCGCTCCATCTCTAGTTTAAAAGGTTACAAAATAGAACCATGTCTAAAGAAATAAAAAGGTAAATGTCTTGGTAATAGGCCGTATCAAAAGTAGATTGTATGAATTTGGCCTAAGACACCGATTAAGGCTTGGTTACACACTTATTTGATTCATGACCATTCCTCGAAAAAATACAAATCTCTTTCTAAGAAAAATGCAAGCACTCCTTAGACAACATATAATAAAAGCACTAATAAGTACAGTAAGATGCAAATGGTGTAGCCACTTACGCTCCTGGTCCCTGCCACGTCCATGTTATTGTGTCCTGTTTGAAATATATAAAATAAAATATTAAAGATCCCACATTATTCAAAATTCACTTAATAATAATTTGTTGACATAGGTCCTGAAGCCTGTGTATGTGGTTTACAAATTAAATATCCCTTTTCCCACCGTCACTTTTTTTGCACCTCTCAGTTAATGGGTGCTCAAAATGCTTAAAACAGAATTTTGTTTTTGTGCCATTTATTTATGAAATTGTATTACATTTCCAGAAAAAAAGAAAGGTTTGAGCAATCTTACCAATTTATTGGGATAGCGAATCACAACAGGCTGCACTGGTACAGCTGGAATAAAGGCCCCTAAAAAAAGAAATATGTTTTTGAACGATTAAAAGAAAACTTATAACTTGTAAACAAACAGAAATTTACTCGGTAATTAAATCTGACAGCTAAAGCCAAACATTACACCGTGTAGTACTTTAAGTGCATAACTCTTGCTTAAGGCTCAAATAGCATTGCTTACATTGTCATGTAAAAAATAAACAAAAAAACGATATCAATTTTTTCGTCTCGTATGAATTACCCATTGATTTCTCAGTTTTCTGTGGTTAGAAAAACAGCATATTAAAAAAATTCTAATTATCTTAAACACAGCATTAACCCGTAGGCAGGTGTTCGTTTTTTTTTTATTTCGTAAAAGCTTCATTCTTTTAGATACTTAATGTTTAAGAGATAAAACCATATCCTGCCAGAATAGAGAAAAAGAACCAGAATAAAGACATCAGACATAACGGTTTACAGGCATCCTGACCGCAGAGCCAGCGACACTTTTCACTTTCTTGCTATAGTTGTCTGCTCTATCAGACGTCCTTTGTTTCCTTTGCATCAATAAACCTTGGTCACACATCAGGGTCTTTGAAACATAGCCAGTACTGGTAATGGCTTGTGTTATTCACTTTACATATCAGTGTTCATGAAAGTAGAGGATTTGAGGCAGCCCAATATAAATGTAGGTGGATAATAGAGGCTGGAACACATTCAGCAGGGAGCGACACACTGCTGGGTTAAAAGCAAGCTCTCACTCAGATGTAGTTTAGTGAACATGAGAGTTTGGAGCAGCATGTCTGAAAGCAAATAGCTCTGATATTATCATTTATTACAGGACATATTTTCCTTTCATTCACAGTGTGTAAAATGAGCAGATCTGTGAACCCAGTGCACACAACACATTTGACATGTTGCCACAAACGGATCCCTAAAAAAGCAAGAGGATGAAATTAAATACCGTTTTAGCCTGCATACTTTAGCCAACTACAAGACTGAGGTTTCCCACAAACAATTTTAAAAGGTTCTGCTTTAGCCCGTGAGAAAGAGGGGAGAAAAAAAGCATCAGACCAATGATATTGTCAATCGACTGAGGTCAATTTTAAATAACAGCAGTGGTTACAAAAATAAAATAAAACTAGCAATGGTCTACATCTAACAGAATCCTCAAAAAGACGTTACCTGGCTTAAAGGTGATGAGGCAGGATCTATTGGTGCATGTCCCCTCAGGAAAAATCATGATCTAAAAGGTAATGCAAGGAAATTAATTAGTGTAAAGAGTGTTTTCTCTCATTATTCATGATATTTGGAACATTAAGAGGTAGTGAGTAACCTATAAAATAATGCTAAGTTATTAAAAAAATATTAATGTGAATAAATGTAAGTCTATTTTTGTTTTTTGCTGAAACAGAATGAAACAAAAAGAGAACAAACTGCCATACTTAGAAGACCATCAAGAAGTTTGGAAATTAGGTAAAATTAAAATTTATTCTTTATGACCAGTACTAATCAATTATACAATCCAAGCTTTTTAAATCCACTAACTTGAGGCCAATCTCCCCCATAATGAGCTCTCCGCTTTATCTCCTCCACAGTCTTCTTTCTTGAGTTCTGGTCTGATCGGGACACGAACACTGGCCGAATGTATTTAATTAAAGCTGAAAGAAGTGCAAAGGACAAATTAATTACAAGAAAACACTTTGGTTATAAAAAAAGCTAAACTAAGATAGAAATACATGTACATCTCCAAGGTAAAAATTTGAGCAAGAAAAATAGACTTAAGGCACTTCAGTGTATCACTGTACTCCCAATTAGTGTTTTAACACATAAAAATAACTCCTCACAATACACTAAAGCCATAAGGGTTGAAGAAATGTTTTTATCAACATGCTTTATAGTAGACATTTTAGCAGTCTGTAGTACAATAGAAAATAAGCAGAATCTTGGGAAAGTATGACTTTCATCACAGAAATTTAAACAGTGTTAAAAAGAAACCCATTAGTGTCATGTAAGGGCCAAAGTCACTAAAACTGAACAGGCTATTTTTAAACAAACAGTTGTGAGTGTTAATAATGCATGTTCTTCAAATATGGTCACGAGTCAGACGAGGCTGAACACACATACAAAAAAAGTTCTCACTTCCTTTTTTAATCACAGGTAGTAAAGCTATGATACAGATGATCATTTGACCTAATCTTGGTTTAACCAAGAGCTCCACAACGTGGTCCCCAACATATGAAAGCAAACTAATATATTGTTCTTGTTAGCATATACATTGCTTTATCTACAAACGTATGTAACAGAAGTATATAAGGGCCATTTTGAAATACCTCCCTTATTTATGGCTGCTTCTATCAAAGCAATGCCAGAATTTAGTCAGAATTACATGTTCAAGCAAAGTTTTAGGAGCATTTTATAAGGATTGTTCAAATTAGTTCAATCTGATGCAGTGTCAGCCTTTGCAGAAACTATACTAAGTAAAAAAAAAAAAAAACGTAATTTAAAATGTAAAATTTACTGAATAGAATATGAAAGTATTTCATTTTAAATCACACAGTTTTATTTGTAATCTTGGCTGGTGCTGAAAGGATTTTTTAAACCCTAGTAATATGGCGTACATTGATGAGATGAATGGGCAACCCCTTATTTTTGTCCTCGTCTCTATAACTCCTCCTTCTGTTTTTGATGTAAACATATTTCCAATCAAATCAACACTTATAACTGCAAAAAAACATCACTGCTATAAAACTGGGCAGGATTACTACACTAAAGGTTATTTGTATTGACAAGCTCCCATAATTTATCATTCTGCAAGATTTAAGTAAAGCATTGTAGACGTATGTCATTTAATGCATGATAATCCCAATGTAACTTTCAAGACGTACAGTGTAGCTTAGGTAAAAGCACATTCACTGAATATAAATATCCGAGGCAAAGCAACGTACAGACAAAAGATTACAAAACGTAACACTGTAGCTATCGGTTTTACTTATGGGTTCAAACTACCTTTAAACTCAAACTAATATGAGCAATCAAAAAAATCTAATCAAAAAGTAAACATTAGCTATAGTCACCAACAAAAGAAAACAAAGAACAAAGGTTTGAAAGAGTATTACAGAGTTGTTGATATTTTCGGACTTTCAAGTTTAACCAAGAAAAGAAAACTGCTAATCAAAAGGTCTATTCATGTTTGAGACACATTTCATAAAAAGAAAATAGCAAGAGGAAAGAAATAAGAATAGTATGGAAGTTGGAAGAAAAATGTAGAGCTAGAGAAAGAAAAAACTGCTTGCAACTGAATTTCTTGCTGAATAGCAGGGATTAATGCTAACTCCTCCCAAAAGACATTCTGCACATGTCACTGCAGCTGATCATGCCTTAATGCTCATTATGGGGTTCACATGCCTGACAGGCATTGCTTCCTGGCTCCCTTTAACTAAGACAAAAATGGAATCATATTTATGATTGATAAGCCCTTCTATTTTTTATTCTAAGAACTATTTCTGAGAAAAAAAAAAAAAAGTTGTACAAAAGCTAAAAAAGGAATTAATCTAAACTGGCATACAGTTCTACTGAAGAGTAAAATCCTCAATCTATATGTGCTTTGTACTTTGTTGACTCTGACGCACACTGGCAGAATATAATAGGCAGAATATAATGGAGGATATAATGCACCAATTGTGAGCTGTTTCAGTCTTGCAATGCAAGCATGCAACAGTGCTCAAACTTGGCTTAGCGCCACTGAGCCTGGAGCTAACAACATAGCAAATTGCTGACTTAGTTGACAGGGCAGGAGGAGGTGAAAGGAAGACTAAAATAAGACAAACCTTGACTGCGTGTCCTGCTTGCAGGCATGCATGATCCGATGTCTGCATCAGTAGCTAAAGGGGTAACTTCACGTGCAAGCCTCTTAATAGGATATGTTGTCAAAGTGGCTTGACTACAGTCTGCAACTAAATAAGGCCTACCTGACGTCTGCATGGGGCTCTGGATTGTACACAGACAAGTTCCATTGAAATCTATACATATTTGCATGGGTATTAATAAGAGCAGAAGAAAAGAAAAAAAATATAATCTGACTTGAAATAAAGCTGGAGTTTTTCAAAAGAGCCCTATCCATAAACTTTTTAACGTGCAATTTTAAATGAAAGTTTAAAAACATCAGTCTTTTCTTTTTTATTATTGTTAGTAAATGCTTACCAATTCAATTTTCTCAAGCCTTTATTACCTAAGGACATTTCCTTGTTGTTTGAATAACTCAATAAATTTATGAAAACAAAATTTACCTGGTTCTATGCATCTATAGTCATAGCTGACAATTAAAGGCTTTAAAGGAAATTATTACCTTTGAGAAAAAGCTACTTAGATTTTTGAAAATCATACAGATCAAAAATGTACTGCTATAATCAAGTTGTCATACACACTTTCAAAACATTGTTAATAGAGTAAATATAAGGTTTTACAGTAAAACAAAAATCCCAAATATATTCCATGAAATGGGTCTCATGTAAACATGTAATGTGTGTCTTTCATAATCAATGGTCTAAGATAGTTAAGGTTATTGTTGGCCAGGTTTGATTGTCATTTACAGCTTTATTGACTTTCTAGTAGCAGTTCTTATCGTTCCTGTCAATATTTGCTTTGATACTACTGTGCAGCATGAAGTGCACTATCTTATCAGCAAAGTGTGGTCACCGATAGCCCAGCAGTCTAATCAGCTCATGAAAAGTACTGATAAACAAGACTGTTGACTTTTTAGAATTTTAAAGCAATACCTCTTATTATTTTACATACCACAAATGTGCATACTTTAACGTAAATCTCTTTGGTCATTGTCTTTTTGGTAAATAGAATGACTGCTGCTTTTAATGGAAACCATGACATGATTTGTGTGCAGATTTTACTTACTTCCCCAAACAGGTATATCCTTGCTTTCAGCCTTCATGACTATCGAGGACATTGTCATTGTAACGGGAATGGCATCAAAGTAAGAGGAGTGGGGTGCCAGGGTGAGGATGGGAGCTTCTGCAGGCAGAGCTCTTTGCCCTTTTACAGTTATCCAGTGAAAACCTCCCGCAAACCACATGATCCGCATGATCACTCTCAGGATGATGTCCACCAGTCTGTAAACAAAATTTAGCATGACTCTAGCATTTTCATTTAACCGTAGATTACAAATACTCTAAATCGTGCATTCTATGTAGAACTACTTGGAATACTACAGATTATACAATAGTTTCATACAAGGCCAGGATGATTTAGAAGTGGAAAAAGAGAATTGTTTTAAAAATTTCTTTTAAATTATCTGTAATGGAATTGGTAATTATACCTCTCTAAAACCAAATTTCTAGCTGGAAATCTTCCAGGGTATGTCTCTAAAATGTTAGCACAACTACAGACTTATACAGTTTTGCCCAAATACCAAAAATACCACGAGCCGAGTCACACTTCATGCATAGCATCTTGCCAAAGAATCTCAATTGGATTCAGCTCTGTACTTTGACAGGGCAACACTTCACAATTCCTTGTTCTAAATAATTTTATAACAATTTAAGCTGCATTTTAGGGTCAGTGTTCTGCAGGAAGTTAGCCTTTCACCAATGTTTCCTCTAAGCTGCGAGCTTGAACAATTGCGTACTGCTCGCCCATTTTCAGTTCACACAAAAAAAAAAATCTATGCAGCGCAATATAATAAAACTTTTCTGTATCATTTTCAGTATGTGCATCATTTGATTTACAACTCAAAACCAAAAATAAAAAATATGAGAAAACTAAGTTCAAACTGAACTGTCACCCCCAGCTTTTCAAAAATGTATTACAATTTATTAGATAATATGGAGAAAGAGAGAAAATACCACACATGATTTCTGATGCTTACCATACCACATTAAATATACTAATAATAAAAATGAACAGGGATTGCATCCATCTTTGCATTTGCATTCATGTTTTATTTCATTAGGGCTCTTATAGCATCTCATCCAGCTTGATGTGCAAACTTGCTTTATTGAATAAACACATTTTAGTGGTTTTGGTGCATAATCCAACTACTCTTCAATGCCAGTTGTATTACTATAACATCCCTTTAATAAAAAAAAAATATATATATATTTTAAGAAGTGTAGTTGGATGAATGGGTTTAATAAAACTTAAGTGCCCTAAAATGTCCTTATTTAGCGCATCAAAAACAACTACAGGTGCATAAATAAATACACCACGAGGTAGAAGAACGTGTGGCGGCCAAAATTATTTATCAGTCTAGGCTTCCACAACAATGAAACTCACTGAATTGTAAAAGCCCTGCAATCCAACAAGCAATCAGTTTAACACACTCGTTCTCTGCATAGCACAATGCTTTTTTTGGTGCTAAATTTAAGTATATAATGAAGCAAAAACGTAAACGGGGGTCAATCAGCAACTTCTCGGATATGGTGGCTGCAGCACTTGGATGTGAGGAGCTAGAGGAGATCTCACAGCTTGTGGATATTTGTGCAAAATTTTAAGCTTCCAGTGCTGAAAGACTATTTAGTTTAATGAATAATAAACAGCATCCAGAAAGCTCTTAAAGTGGCATATTTGGAAAACAATGGAAGAAATGAGGACGGACGTGAAAAAGATCAAAATTAAATCAGATTTTTTTCATATTCTAATCACATCAAGGTTTTTTAATATATATATTTAATATATATATTATATATATATAATTATGAAATGCTTATACAATAAAAAAAATGTATTTTGGTAGAAATCCAAAAAAACAAAACTGTGTAATTAAACAGTTTGAGGGATAGAAAAAAATTTATAGGAACTTACACTGTATCAAAAGCTTCAGCACATTTCTTTGTGCAAAATGTGAATGTTTTAATATGAACAAAAAGTAATGTTGGAAAACTATGACATCTAATTTCTTCCAGAGCAGTAACCTCAATAAATAATAATTTTATATAAAAACAAATACACTTTGGACTTACAGCATGCACATCTGATGTTCCTCACAGTGGTCCTCTGTGTACTAGGTGGCTTGTATGCCAGACACATGAAAAATTGGAGGGAACCTTGCCTTTCACTCTCCTAAAGTCCTCTAGAGCAGGAATGTCAAACTGGTTGCAGAAAGGGCCGTGTGGTTGCAGGTTTTATTTTCAACCAAGCAATAGCATACCAGACTCCAGTCATCTCATCAAGTGAGTCCAGTCTTAACATGATGACTTGATGAGATGAATGGAGTCTGGTGTATTGCTTGGTTGGAGGGAAAACCTGCAGCCACACGGCCCTTTGTGAAACCAGTTTGACATCCCTGCTCTAGAGCCGCCAAAAGCTGTCCTCAGGGATTGCCTCATATTTAGCTCCAATTTAGCTCCATATTTAGCCTCAACCATCACTGTATTGTCAGAAAATGTTTCCACCAATTTTCAAATATACACCATGCTTCACTATGGGGTTGCATATTAAAGTGAGTCTCCTGTCTGTAGAAATGGAGTATCTTACTACTTTACACCAAAGCCTTTCTATCCCTCTTCTATAAAGGGCTGAATAGTGAAGTATATTCCTGCGGATCTCTGCAGCTCCTCCAGAGCTAATTCCCAGTCTCCTTCCCTTTTCACTTTAGTTGAATGGCTAAGCTTTAGAACGTTGTAGTTGTGTAATTTGACGTTTTTTGTTCCATTTCTCATCATAATGTCTAATGAGCTTTTTATTCTTAATCATGTCAGTTGCGGGAATTTTTTTTCTGATACACTGTAAGAGACCTTTAAAAAGCATTTCTCAATTCTTAGCATTGTTTACTCCACGAATAAACAATGCTAAGAATAACTTATGTACTGAATGGCCATTTAGTACTTGGGTGACTTTCAGAGCCTGGAGTCATACTGCATTTTAATTAGAGATAAAAGTTTTTTAGATTAATTATTTTTTTTGTGCGACTATGTCACACCACATTTTACTTTAGCCTGTTATTGGGAAAGTATAGTGTCTTAATTTATGGCAGGCAAGAAAGCACAAAAACTAAAATAAAAATAAAAACCTGGATCTCTACAATTAAATGGCTTTTATAATAACTGCTTTTAAAGAGACATTTTTCAAAAGCTAAGTACCTACCTTCTCCAGAGGCACTGGGGTTCAACAACTGTCTCGGAGCGCCCCACTGAGGCAAGGAAGGCAAAAGGCCAAGCCAGTAACATCATGAATGCTGCTATGAGCAGACGGATGGGGAATAGAGTCACCGTCATTAATGCAATCTGTTAAAGAGGGGAGAAAAAAAAAAGTGTTAAAATGTTTCTAAGTGAGAGAGTTATAGTTATGCAGCCAAATATTGTTTTCAATGTTAAAATCTGCTGCTGTGTGTTCACTATCAGCAGTTTGCTGTACTTCTTGTAATAAAAGTATTTTTCTTAGTCTAAAACCACTGAGCAAAGCTCTGAAGTGCAATAACCTTGTTCTATCCTCAGCCTCCAAGCTGTCTCCTTCACTTGCTCTGCATGTGGCTGATGCTGCAGTCAGTAAGCTAGATTTACAAATTAGAATAGCTTGGTTACATTTTTTTTTTTTAAAGCCAAGCTTCTGTCCATTCACTTAATAGACAGAAACAGTAACAACTACCAACTATACAAACATGAAAACTAAAAGAACCAACCAAGAATATTGAAAACTGGACATTCTGAATATTTAATACTGCCATTGGTGAATAAAAAGCCTGCATAGGTCGACCTATAGTTACATTGACACCGCACTGTTACAAACCTTATTCTGTAAAACACACATGAATACAAATATAATCTAACAAACTACAACAGAGCAGCAGTAATTACAGTTATTTTCTCGTCTCAATCACATGGAGTTAAAAAAAATATACATGTCTATGATTTTGTTGCTTATTAAATTATTAAAACTGTAATATAAATACATTTAAACATTCCTTTATTGCCTCTTCTTGGCATCACTCTTTATATCAACTATATAAATCAAAATTCATAAAATATGATTTTGAAATTTAACTGGCTTAGTTCTTTCTGTAGGTATGTGGATGCCTGGCTATGCATGAATATGTAGCTGATGTGCCTTGATGAGACCTTATTAATATGTGTGTATGTTTAACTGCATGTATATCTGCATTTATCTGCACATCTTGTCTTGACTTCTTTCATCATGTCTGTAAATTTCTAAAATTCATCACAGGAGAAACAGTTTGAAACTGAGGGTATTAAATTTGAAATATGTGTTTATGCGTTTGTTTTTCAAACAGTGAACAGTAAGGCTGAAGGATTTTGACAAAATCTATATTGCAATTATTTTTACGAAAATTGCAATAGCGATTTTACTTCAATTTTCCTTTGCATTAACCCCAAGGTTGTAGATGTTTCACCCCAAGCTTTGTTTTTGAAGGCATGCTTGCCCAGGGTCAACTGTTTCGGGACTTTACTGCAAATTTTGCATGAAAAATTTTTTACTTCTACTTGCATGTATGGATGTGCATGCTAGCTGCCACTCTCTCTCCACCGTTCTTTATCGCAAGGTAACCCACTTCTAGTGTTTTACCACCACCGAAAGGGCTGGAGTAAGAAAACTAGTGCCTTAATGTGGTCAAATATAGCATAATAAAAAATATGTGCCTCTGCAATTTGAAATTGCTTTTTATTGAATTGCGATTAGATTGCAAATGCAATTACTACCCAGCCATTTTGAGCAGTTGCTGTATTTTGTCCCAGTTTTAGCTTAAATCATTTACTGGTACCTCTGTGTATACTTTGCAGGAATCTAAATGTAAAGTGCAATATTTTCTTTCCGGTAAAACTGTTCTCTGTGAGCAGAAAAAAAAAAAAAAAAGTAAAAGGAGAAGCAGTTATAAAAGAAGAAGAACCAAGTTGAAGGTCTAAACTGTGTATTCTCTTAAAGGCTTCAAAACAATGTTATAAAAAGCCTCTATTTCACTTGTTGAACTGAATAAAGACAGTAGTAGAATATTCATAGAACTCTTATTTTTCAATGTTGCTGAACATTGAAAAAATTAAAATAAACTACAAATTATTACTGTACATCTAATTGTAATGAAATGTGGTTAAAAGGCCTGTACTTTGTAGCACCTTTTTTTTTTTTTAAGTCAGGGGAGTCCAAAACTCTTTACACTAAATTACTTCATTCATACATAAGATATGTAAACGGAGTGCATCGGATTACCTATTTGACTTCTTAGATTGAATATCTGGTAGAGGGTTATTTTTTAGGGTCATGTATTCACACTCTACATATCTATAATTTATTTGGCGAGTCGAGTGGGTTGAGATTGACTTAATGCTCACACAAGGTAGATTTCCTCAGTAGTCCAAAGGCTAATGCTTGGAGATGCTTGGGGACCTTAAAGCTAATGGAAACAAACTTCCTTTAGAAGATGACTAGTTTTCTACCACAATTAAAGATTTTCCAGAACATCTGCAGTGCTATAATGCAGGACAAATGGCTTAAGATTTTGAAGAAAAAAAATTGCATCCCTTATACCTGGCTTATAAAATCAACATTACTTCATGAGTGCAGTATTATCAGTGAAGTTGGAAACATCACTTTTATTAATAATTTCAGCCCTGATAAAATCTATTTCTGAAAACGTTTACACAAAATACAATACAATTTTTGAAACAATCTCAAACAAATTGGTTTTGGGACTGTTCCAAATTGATTACAAAAAGAAAACTAAATTCACATTTACATAGGTACTCATAGCTTGTGCTTATTCTTTTGTTGATCAACCTTTGGCAGCAATTACAACCTGGGGTCTTTTGTAATACAATGCTACAAGCTTAGCAAATCTCTCTTAAGGCAGTTTTACTCCTTTGCAGGAAATCTAAAGCTCCATCAGGTTGAATGGGAGATGCCTGTGCAGCCATTCTTAGGTATCTCCAGAGATGTTCAATCAGATTTAAGTCTGAACTGTAGCTTGGCTACTCAAGGACAATTAGTGCGGCTCTGAAGCCTCTCAGAGATACTGGCTGTGTGCTTTGGGTCCCTTTTCTGCTGAAAAATGACTGTCCTCTTTCCTGTCTAGTCTTCCAGATTGTGCTCCTGAAAAGCATCTCTATAGCATGATGCCACCACCACCCCAACATATTCTCACTCCCAACTTGTCACATATTGAAGCTTGGTCAAAGTGTGCGTCACATACTGACACGCAGGGGTAACCCGCATATCAAAATTTGATGTGCAAGGCAGATGTTAGGTTGTGGACAGTGTATCATGTGACCAGCAACAAAAAAAAGAAAAGAAGTTTAGCACTTATTTAGAGAGGGATGGAAGTTAGATTTACCAGTTCCTTGAGTGGGTGTGTAAAAAACATGATAATGCTATGGCCAGGGAGGATTATACTGGAGTTACATTTTTTAGATAAGTACTGCTCTATTGCTGTTCTATGCTGTTACAGCGCATGTGAAGAATAGGTGCGGGGTTATTTCAGGTTCAATATTGCAGAAGGAACTATCTGGATTTATTTCAAGATATTTAGTTATTTCATCATTTGTAGGATTCATGACTGTATGGTGAATATTTGTTGTTCAGTTAGAGACATGTTGAAAACAAGATGGTTTACAATTCTCCTTTAGCTCATTAGTTCAGTGGTCTTTAGTTTGCCCTTTACACATAAGAGCCTTATGGTCAAAGACTAAGTACAAATTAAGACTAATCACATTATTTCAGCTCTGAAGCTATTCCTCTAATCAGGCCTTATAATTGGCTCATTTCTGAAACTAGAACCAAACTGATGAAACATCTGCTAATGTAGAGCATGAACATATTTCTTGCACCAAAACATATGTCACTTCAGTTAACTGGGTGGTTCACTTGTTAAAAAGGAGAAGTACTTGTTTTTAAATGTGGCAGTCTTAAGTGAAATGGTAGGACTAGAACACCATTTAGACTAGCAAACCGACTACCTTAGCTAGGGGCACGGTCAGTAACTTAAATTTACAACCAACTAAAAACATGCAAAAATGCAGTTATCAAAGCTATTTCTGTTCAATACAATTTGCACATCTATTATTAGACAAATAGTAAATCTGCCTCCATAAGGTTGAGCGAAAAAAGTTTAAGTTGGAGAAAATAAGCTACTTTCTGTCGTCTATAATTGCTCCAAGAACCAGCTCTTAACAAATGCTGCAGATATCAATCCTTCTAAGGATTTTCCTTGCATATTCTGATATGGAAAAAAGAGGCTCCTATATCCCACCCAGGGCTGGCAATTGTAATGTGTAATAAGATATTCCCCTTATACCTGCAATGGAATAGCAGCCTAATTCACAGAAATATGATTTAAAATGGGCTGAACCCTCACACTTTAGTGTTGTGTAATCCAAGACTCATAGAACTAAACTGTTCTGTATAGGAATCATATTAACACTCTGGAGAGTACTTTAATTTTCTCAGCCTCATTTGTTTACAGGCACTTGTGCAGTGAGAAGTTTTAAACGACAAGCTGGATTCTCAATCACAGTCTTAAACAGAAACCTGTGACTCACGTAGATGACCACACTTCTCTATTTAGTTTGAATGAGAGATCATGTGAATTCAACCAGATAGGATTCATGTGTGCTTCTAATAGGAGTTTTTCCCATGATGGGAAAATCGTGTGAATTTCTGCATAGACCTTCCTCCTTCAAGTCTCCAATAATCAGGACAATTATCCTGCAATGTGGGAAGTGTTAGAAGTGATCTGGTTTGTTAAGAAGAACTTCGGAAACCAATCCGACTGCAAATCAGGAAAATAAACAAGTTGGATTGTCTTGCCCCAATATCCTACAGAGTGTATTTTAGTGCCCGTCCCCCCGTGGATTCTCTTCATTAACAGCAGCCCTGCTTTTTTAATCTGTACCAGAGCCCTGCAAAGTCCGCTTTCTTAAACCCAAATCCATCCATGTAGCTCAGACCCAGCCCATGATCACAATGTAGAAATCAATCAAAATAATAATCTTCAGAAGAAACCGTTTGATTTAACATTGAATTAAACAAAGACACCGTAAGAACACATTCACAACCTAAGAGTGCGTGGCATGACTAATTCAGGCGCATTTAACTCAGGCTAAAAAAAAATAAATACCTCAGAGCACAAATTAACTTATTCTGATATCAGCGTGTATTTGATCAACTATGTTGTTTACACACTGATGTTAAGGCCTTGCTCTTTAGCTCGCTGTGCAGAAAACGAATATCATCCATGATCACTGGATGCGTTAAGTTTCGATCTCTTTTCCTGAATCAT